TCTACGTTCTCGTGTGTGAGCGTTTAGCGCGATTCCGGTGGTGACTGACGTCTTTTCTGATGATCTCAAAAAAGTATGCGCGAGTCACGGTTGGGCAAATTGAGTTTGCGTTGGGTGCAGTCATACGCAACGTTATCTAAACCTTGCAGGCTTCTGGAACGATGCAGCGCGTTGGGTCATCCGGGTTAGCCGTAGGTCACGAAAATGCAAAATCAGCAGAATGTGTGACGAATGTGTCAATTTCTAAGACTGTAATCTCTGGGCTGCCCGACTATCAATGAAAGTACAGCAAGCACCAAAAGATATCTCGATATCTGACTTATCATCATCGCGTCGGAGAAGACGCAAGTCGCCCTAAACCATCACGCCGATAACCTCTTCCGTCGGAGGGATGGTATACCGTCCTACTACGTCGATATCGGGCGCCACACTGCGCGGCGGGAGACTGCCAGGTTATTCATGCCTGACACTCCTCGAACCCGGACGTCAGCTCCGCAGACACATGCTGTGGTGCTGTGCAGGAGCGGCGGCGACCTGCGGCGGGCTTAGAAGCCGTGGACCTTAATGGTCTTGGCATCAAGTCCGAGACCCTCCTTCTTGTTGATGAGGAATTCCTGGACGACCTTGCGCTGGTCACCCTGGAGCTGGATGACCTCGCCCATCTCGCTGTCCGCTACGATGGTGCCATTGCAAGCTGAATTGGGTTAGTTTGGGTTGGAGTGACAGGGCGGGGTAGCTAGCCTACCGAATTGCTTCTTGATGACCTTCAGAATCTTCTTCTGGTCGAATTTCTTTGGAAGACCCTGAACAGTGGTCAGAGTCTTTCGTCCATTGCGTTCTGCGTCGAAATGTCAGCGGTTGTCCTCATCCGAGTTTGCGCACGGCTGAACGTGGCACGTGCGGGATTTGTCGTCGGCAGCGACGGTCGGGGGTGTCGGGGACAAGACGTACGTTGGATTCGTATATGAATATAATTTTGAGCCTGTTTGGTCTCTCCGGTGTCTTCGTCGGCTTCGGCGAAGGGGTCTACGGAGGTGGATGTCAGCGGATCTGTCTTTGAACATGGCGGTCAAGGAGAGGCGACGTGTCCGGGCGTGACGTGGCCGACGACATCGCGGAGACGCGACGACGATAGGGTAGCACGTGGAGCAGACGTCGGAGAGGCAGACGTACCGTAGGTCTTGAGATTTTCAATTGACATAAACTCGTCTGTTCGGGGGTGACTGTGGGAAATGGGTTTGGTTGAAGGGATGAAAGGTCAGCGACAGACGGCTTGCGGTAAGCGGTCTCGCTGCAGCGGGCGTTTAGATGAGTGGTAGTTGGTTTGTAGCTGAGTAGCGCGGATGGATGTCTGGTGGCTAAAGCTGGCGGGAAGGCTGGCGGTGATATACGTGACGAGAAGGTGGCGAAGTCAGTCGGAGTCGAGAGTTGGCGAGGCCTGTTGGGTTTTGTACGTCGGAAGATTTATGGGGGGTGGGTGGTCTGCAGATCGATGACTGATGTTTGTGGAAGTTGGGAGAAATGACGGACTCGGTCGGGTACGGGGGGGCTTGCTCAATGAAAGGGGGGGTGGCTCACTGCCAGCTGCACCAGTGTGGGCTTCGGAAAGGCCAGAGAGGGGCGCAGGTGGGAGGCACGGGTGACGAGGGGCAAGGTGCACGGGCCCCCGTCGCCCATCCAGCACCTCCTCAGCGCCTGAGAGGTGTGGGAAGGCACTGGACTGAGTGCTGACCGCCGTGGCCGATGCCTGCCCAGAACCACCGCCTGCGAGAGCGCTCACCCTGTGCCTGGTGGTGATTGGCAGATAAGGCAGGCTCCGATGGTTCTGGCCAATGAGCACCGCCCTGAGGCAGCCCACGGAGGATCCACCAAGCCCACCACCACTCACCGCACCTCGCTGCACTGCAAGCTGAACACACACACACACTCGCTTCATCACCGACATCAGTCACAGACAGCAGCCATCATCTCAAGGTTGCTTTTCGCAGTGACTCTCGCTCACAACTCACAATACATCCTCTGGACGAGCTCACCCAGTCAAGCAGGACCAGATAAGATAGCTAGAGTCACAGTCGGTGCAGTCACGCCAGCACGGCCCCCACCCAGCACCCAGCACCCAGCTAAGGCCGGCCCTTCTCGAGGTCGTCTGCAAACCATGGCTAGTTGCGGCCTAGTGCTGGGGAAAGCAGCAATACATGCACCGTGGGCCGTACGCAGTAGCACGAACTGTTCCTGCTGCGTACTTCGTATCTCGGCAACTAGAGATACCCATCGCCCACGTACAGCCACCCGCGACCACCGGCCGGGCCCTTGCGCAACCGCGGCCCTTACGTACCCTCCTCCCAGGTATCCCATCACATCCCGCTACCTCCCGCCCAGCTCGGGCTGAGACAATGGCCATCATCTGACGGGAAAACAAACACGACCTTCAACCAAACCTCGCATTGTACCTTGATCTAGCAGGGAAGGCGCGCGGTCGGCGATGCCATGCGACTCAACTCGACTTCTTTACTGCGTTGCAGTCGCACCAAAGAAGAGTCCGGATCCCCCTTGCATCCATCCCGCCGGACGAGTGACCCATCCCACCGTCCCGTCCCCACCTGCCGCCAGCCGGTTCAGACAATAAAGTGGCCAGCCCGGCGTTTCCGTCCTGCCGCATCCAGCGCTGCGCCCAGCCCTACGGATCATCCGCATCCGGGCTTTGCGCCGATAAAGCCTCGATCTGGGCCGTGCAGCAATTTGGTGGTCAAACCGGCCTTCCAATTATGACATAATATACGGCAAATTCCATACAGGCGGGCGCCCTCAGTCCAGCTCCGGCACGGGGAGATGGTCCACGAGCTTCAGATGCGTCAGCCCAAGCTTCTTCAGAGCCTCAACCGCGTTGCGATCCCTCAGCTCCTCCGTCTCCTTCTGCGTCACCAGCACAAAGTCCTGCTCCAACAGCCAGCTTCCCTCCTTGACCCCGTACTTCTCCGCCGTTGCCTTGTCAACCTTGTCGAGGTCCACCACGAGGCTCTTCTTGACACCAAACACCGCATCCGACTTCTCGTATGGGTCTCCCCGGATGTACAGCGCACTTGCTTGTCGTCAGCTTATCTCTCTCTCCGTAGGCCACCGGGAGAACTTACGTGATCAGGTGATCCCAGCCCTTCTTCTCAAACATGAAATGCAAATGCGCAGGACGCCAGCAGTGTCGGCCCAAATGGTCCAGCAGCTTTCCCACAGGTCCGTCGTGCGGAATGGGATAGCTGACGGGCTTGATTCCCTGGAACCAGAATCGCCCATTGTCGTCAGACACCATGACGCACCGCTCGCTCGCCTCCGTCCGTCCCTCGTGCTGCACGTCATAGTGCCCGCTGCTGTCCGTCTCCCAGATGTCGATCTTGACCCCAGACACCGGGTTTCCCTGGCGGTCCTTGACTGTGCAAACCACCAGCAACGGCTCGCCCTCGGGGTCTCCCGACATGTTCGCCCCGTTCTCCAGCGTCGGCGCATCGTGCGTGTGGAACGGGCCCAGGACGGAGCCCTCGGTCGAGTCGGACGGCTTGGGGTGGTTGATGCTGTCGACGAGCAGGGAGAGGCCGAGAATGTCGGAGAGGAGAATGAATTCCTAGCCTAGTCAGCCCGTCTGTCTCTTTTGTAAGAGTGCCATGAGGGGATGACTTACATGCCGCACGTCGCTGCTAATCTGCCCGCACCCGACGAGGAAGTTGAGCGCCGCCATCCACTCGTCGGTGCTCAGCCTCGTCTCGCGCGCAAAGTCGTGCAGGTGCGTGACGAGCCGCTCCATGAGGTACTTGAGGCGCGCATTCTGGCTCTGCGAGTTGATGCGGATCGTGTTGGGCGTGATGTTGTCGATCGTCAGATCCAGCAGCTCCGGTGTCTTGTCCGCCATGTTTGCTGTTTCTTTTCTGGCTCAATTGCAAAGTTCCCGCGACTGCAATCCGAATCCTTAAAGGTCGTCCGGAATTGAACGGTTAAGTATGTCTCCCGCCCGTCTGTGTAAATTGCGTCGTCGAAGCTCCAATGCTAGGGGGACCCTCTTTATGTAATGCTCGGTAATCACCAAGCTCCGAGTGGACTTTTTCACTTCCCGGCAGCGTGTCCCGTACCTGATGTGCCCCGCGTCACCTTACTTTGGGTGCTCGGTGATCCTCTAACAATGATACTTTACCGAGTCGTTGAGATCGCGGGTGATTTCTTAGCCGATGTTTGTGGCCTCTCTTTCGAACCACTTTGCGCGGGCCATCAGTCGATATTTAATAATTACTTCAAAGCGGCTGAATACAAAAGAGCCCTACGTCAGGTACGTTTCAAAATACCCCCAAGAATGCGAAAAGTCAACGCCGTCCCGTCGCTGGCGGCAGTTCCCTTACCCCTCCTTCTACAGCACAGCAGAGCACTGGGAGGGGGGAAACAGTGGAATGCTCTGCGGGGTTTTAGCGTCGCTCTTGCCCCGCCCCCACGTCAGTCGCGGAAAGGTGGAGGCGAGCACGGGCCCTGGGGAATTCCCGACTCCCCCCGGGTCTTGATTCGGGACTTGAGAGTCGGAGGGCTCGGGGAAGGAAAGGGAAGGGGGGATGTGTAAGCGGCGAAGCTGGAAGAGCATTCCGGCGCCGCGGCGGGTGGATTTACGGATTAACGGGGCCGGGGGTGTATCTCCGGGTGTTTACTTCGCCGTGATTTCCCGTTTGTGGTTTGCCTTCATGTAACTTCTTCCTGTTTTCATCTGCTGCCACCACACAGGAATGGGAAACGGCTTTTGCAACGGCATATACCAGCACAGCACTTGCACCATCATCCGGGATTACGGAGTAATTCAAAATGAAATGCTTCCGTGTTTTCTTCTGATCAACGGGTATGCAACGACCTCTCTTCCCGAAACCACACATGCAACCGACCCAGCACTTGCAAAAACCACAATGATCCACCCGCCAACTCCGACAGCACCACGCCGTCCTCACAAACCATCCTTATCCAACACAGAACCCCCAAGCCTACTGGATCCCCGCCGGCACCGACCCTTCACCCTCCGTCCCGGTCCCCTCCCCCGCCCTCGCCGCCGTCTTCCCCACCGGCTTCCGTCCATACACAACATATCTGCCCACAATCAGCAACCTACCCCAACCTCACACGGGGAAAACTCACATCGGCAAATACGCATGCGTCCGACAATCCCGCAACGCCATCCTCACCTCCGCGCAGAACGCCAACGTCTCGTCCCGACTCCAGCCCAGAAACCGCGTAAACAGCGCCAGCGTCAGCCCCTCCAGCCCGGTATCCAGATTCGCGTGCGTCCACATCCCGATCTCCTTGTAATGCGGGTCCCGCGGCCACCTGTTCATCGGCCACTTGCTCGTCCACTCCGTCACGCATTCAAACCCCGCCGCCTCCATCATGCGCGCGTACGCCGGCGCGAGGTCCATCCGCCGCCCGGCCTTGGCGGTGCCCTCGCGGAAGAGCGTCGACAGCCGGTGCAGCGGGGAGGACGGCGGGAGCGTGCCGTCGTCGCAGCGGTAGGGGAGGGCGAAGTCCTGCATCTCGAGGTAGCCGCCGGGCTCGAGGTGCGCGTAGGCTTTGGCGAAGAAGTCTGGGTACGAGGAGATGGAGCCCGCGAGGACGCGGCCGAAGATGAAGTCGAAGGGCTTGGACCAGGTCCAGTCCTTTTCGAGGTCGTCGAGCTCGAAGGAGAGGTTTGGGGGGACCCATGATGGTTGCATGGGACTGAGGTCGACGCCGATGACCTTGGTGGGTGTTAGTGAGAGTGAAGACGGGAAGGTGAGTGTTTGACTTGAGCTTCGGGGTGTGCGTCGGCTAAAAGAACGTCAGTGTCATTCCATGCTGGCGAGGGAAGGAGATGTACCGTATTCCATCGCCCAGATTCCCGTGCCGGTGCCGCAGTCCAGGACGCGCTTGTTCTCTTCCTCGCCCTTGGGACACAGACACAGCTTTCCGCGGAGTGTCAATATCCACATATGATGTTGCAAATCTGTCTCTCATCAGCCGACGAACTAACGCCTCACTCTCAGCGGGTTCTCATACCCAACCGCTCGGCTTCCCTCTCGTCGTTGGGAAACGAGTACTCTGCCAGCCCAACCGCATCAGTCGCTCTGTCACATCCCCTCGATAGCTTCACCGCAACTTACTCCCCGAGCTCATCGCATGGTACGTCCGCCCATTCTCGACATGGAATCTCAACACGCTGCTCCGGATCGACTCTAAGCTCTCTGGCGGCTTGATTCGCATTCGCAGTCAGTTAACAACATTACCAACTTCCGACATGAAACCCAGACGCGTGGTCTATCAAAAGGGGGGAAGGAAAGACAGAAATGTGGGGATCGCGCAACTCACCTGGGAAATGACAGAGTCGGAATCAAAGTCATCAGGAGCCTGTTCACCGACGCTCATCAGCATCAACCCAAAAGCGTCTTGCAGAAGCGAATGGAGCTCACCAGAGGCTGCTGTCCCGGCTCCGGCGACGCCATCGTAGATATGTCGTCGTAGGATGAGGTTGCAAGTGTGGCGACGTGCGGCCAGCTTGAAGAAAGGCAAGGTAGCTTAAAGTGGATAAGGACAACGTTTGGAGAAGCAGAGGTGTGGGAGCGGAAGCGGAGCTTAAACTTAGGGAAGCACCCGCTTTCGCATTTTCCCCTTGGGGGAAGCAAACATCAGATCGACCTGTCTCCCGCGATGGCCGCGGAGCCGGGGATACCCCTGGCATGGGACGTCGTAGATCCACCGAGCGGCGAGACCGCCGACTGCCGGCGTTGAAAGTCTAGTAGGATACAGGCATAAGGAGCTTGGGCCTTTTCTCTTCGACGTTATGGGTGTGTGCAGGGTCCTCCCGCGAGAATGGGTTTGTTTGGTTCCGGGGAGATTTGGGCAGGACTTTCGTGAGTATTTGGATGGGAGGCGTTTGATTGACCGTGTAGGTACGAAATGTAGGGGAGGGAAGGGCGTCGGGGTTTGAGGGTCAATGTCCGATCCGCGGTCTGGCTACGACGGCATGACTCGAGGTTATTTTGGGAGGCATGCGTGGTGCTGAATGGTTTTGTGAAATTTCCACGGGAATATGAACCTTCGTGGGAGATGTCTCGCCTCCGAAATGAGGTCATTTGAGGGACCGGGTTATTTTTGGGCGCTGCGTTTGCAGAGGACTCCGTGCTTGCCGGACCACGTTCCCGAGGATCCACTGTTGATTCGGGAGGATGGCCGGGAAAGTGGGGTATCCATCTCCGAAGCTAGTTCCCGTCCGAGGCTAGCTTCCGGAGAAGGTGGTTCGCGTCCCAAACGGGAAGGCGTCGTAAGGCGTCCATTTGGCATGAGGTCTCATCATTTTGTTTGGAAATGCTCCCACTTGGACTGTAGTTAGCGCAAAACCAGTGCAGAAAAGAACTCCTCAATGCATGCAGCAACAGGACGTTTGTCCGTTTTGGGCCTACAGGGAAACAGGTCATTGGGGCTAGGCTAAGCGTCTGCGATCCACTTAGCCAGCCTGCTTACACTCTGCAGCTGACCCTGGTTCTAATGTCTTTTCTATGCATCAATCACCAATGCTTTTGGATCAATGTGGATTCGAAGGCAGACTTGGTTAATATGCATGGGTACTGGTTGTTTTGTTTAATAACGCATCTGGCCACTTTAATGTCTATCATCCATAATACATTTTGTTTCGACGCTGACTGGTTGGCACCGTAGCTTCTCAAGTCCAGGCATCCTCAAACAAATCGACAAGCCCAGCAGCAGTCTGATGCAGCATGGCAAACAACTATCGCCCATCTTATCCTGCCTGGTCTCATCATGATCTCGCAGCAGATTCGTATCGCCCAGCAACAACTTACGCCCGGAACATTGCATACGACCCCCTCAGTTTTAAGGATGGAGAAATTCGACTCATCATCATCACGCCTGACAAAAATCCAAGAAGTCCGATAGAGTGCCGCTTGAAGCAGCTTCCACTAGAAGAGGCCGAAAGATATAAATACGTGGCACTCTCATACTTTTGGGGGGGTTCCGATAGTGCCAAGGTTGCCATGACTATATCAGGGAAGCATAATAAGGTTCCAATCGCTCTTGCTCATGCCCTTCAAGAGTTGCGCCATCGGGAGCACCACACTGTGTGGGCTGACCAACTCTGTATCAACCAAGACAATCTTGAAGAGGTGGCTTATCAAGTGGACCGCATGGGCGACATTTACAGATATGCATATCACACTATGGCATGGCTGGGGTATTGCCTGCCAGAAGAGCGCGCGGTGTTTGAAAGGGCAAGATCGCTTGTCCGGTCGTTGCATAGTTGGCGAGAGGGGAAACGCGACACACCGTAACCCAAAAGCAAGAAATCCAATAAGAAACAGAAGGCGGCCCCTCCGCCTCCACTGGCATCCAAATCAGACCGGATAGCGCTATCGAGCGTTCTGGAGCGAGATTATTGGAGTCGTGCGTGGATAATACAAGAAGTTGCTGTGTCACACAGCGTTCAGTTCTTTTGGAACGGCCAATTCTTCCCTATGTGGGAGCTGCAAAAGGCCATCTCCACGTGCAAAGTCTTGGCATCCACAGCAAAAGAGGCGGAGTCCTTGACAATTTCTACACAGTTCCAGCACGTCGACCGTCTCTTGAGGTTCCGCCAGTTTCGGGAAACGCCCATCCGTCTCATCAACGCCCTCATCCTGTCCCAAGACGCACAGTGCACCAACCCCAGAGATCGCCTTTATGCTTTAAAGCACTTAGCAGTTGATGGCAGGGACATTGTTCCTTTCCCCAACTACGGGGAGGACATCGATATCGTGAATCGAAAAACCGCTTGGCGGCTCGTCAGGCACTACGCCGACGGCGACATGATCGTCCTTCCACGGCACTTCAAGAATACTTGGTGGCCTCAATGGCACGATCCCGCAACCTGGGGTGACAAGAGAATCAACGACTATTTAACTGGAGAAAGTCGCTTCGTGGCAGAGAGATCCGACCGCAGATTCGGATCGCGCACGATAATCAAGAAGTGGACGGCCACGAAGGATTCTCGAACATATTGGACCCTTCTTAGTAACGCCCGGTTGCAGGTGCGATCGAAGAGAATCGGCCGCATCACACAGTGCTCAGCTACGGAGTCAGAGGCCAATGACGGCGGCGCGCTGGGAAAGTTGGTCCGAGTGCGCAAATACGGTGCTCGCAAAGTTGAACGCCTCATCTCGCTTTGCTGGCTGTTGTACGACCTGCTTCCGAACAACAAGTACAAGAAAGCGGCGAAGATCAAGATCGGAGACGTCCACTATCTGCTAACTCGTTCTGTGCGGGAATCTGTTCGAGAGTCTATTCCACGGTTTTACCACTGGCTCTTTTGTCGGCAGAATTTGGAGTTCAAGATTGACGGCGTTCCCCTGGCAAACTGGTTATGCGCTTCCTCGAAAAAGATGCGCGAGGATACGGAGAAAAAGGCAATGCGATGCTATACCTCAGTCAACATGGGAATGCGGCTCTTCACTACTGACCAAAACAATCTGGGTTGGGCGACCAGCTCCTGCAAGCCCGGCGATGAGCTCTTTTTGATACAGGGTTGCAGTATGCCAGTGGTATTGAGGAAGGGAGCGGGGGAAGGGCTGTACCAACTGATCGGCGACAGCATCGTGCATGGGTTGATGGAAGGGCAAGGCGTCGGCGAGGCTCCATTCTCAGGCTGGCCTCTATTGACCTTGGCATGAGGTTTCGCTGTGCTAAGTTGTGTCAAGACGGACAGCAAGGTAGTCGCAGACTAGAGTTTGACAGTAGGAATGGCATGAGCGTAGGCCATTAAAGGTGCACCATCTATCCAACAAGTGAACTGGATGTTATGTACCTCAAAGGCTAAGGAGGACAGTATTAGACAAGTCGCCACGAAGGTTATGGATGCAGCTGAGATCGATGAAGCATGGATGCGACTAAAGGCAGAAGCAAAGAAGGGGAGGAATTGTTTAGAGTTATCCTTCTGATTGTCTGCATGTCTTGCTGGCGCAACTTTGCATCTTTGATCACGCCGAAGGAAAGGGACCGCCTTGGTTTTCTGGACTAGAGCGATTCATTTTAGGGGATGCCATGTACTTACTTTCGGTATTATTATCGTCGTCGTCGTCGTCCGTTGCTGCCACTGTCGTCGTCCGTTGTTATCGTTGTTGTCGTCGTCGTTACCTCTATGGTCTGTCTCTGAACATACCCTTACGGCCATGTACCAGGTGACGACCCTTACGCCCGGCCGCTGAGTCACAGGCGGATCTCCGAAGCCTGGCTATGGTCTATAATACCAGCGCTCAATCCATTTTATTCAAGTTATCACTCTACTAGAACATCAGTGCACATGCAGATTCGCTCACGATACAGTCAGTCCAAAATGCAGTCCCACATGAACCAACCCATCCCACCCAGCTTAACGCGCACTGCCCGCCGCCTCTCGGTGACTGCCGTTGAGGTCGTCCTGGAAATCATCGACGTCCTACCTCTTGACAGAGTCCTTGATCTCCTTGCCGCCGAGAACAGTATTGACGATGGTGGCTCGGCTTTGAAGGCCGCGATCAGTACAAGCGCCGCTTGGTCGAGCCTGCGAGATGTGGACCTCGGCCGCTTGTCCAAGCTTTGGGAGGCCTTCAACCAGCTATCGTTACTGATCACTGATCGAAGGGTCGTGAGCAGCCGCTTTCGGTTACCAGAGATGGACTATATGTGCTACGACTTCAAGAAGAGAAAAACTACAGGGTTGGAGTTCATGGAGAAGCTCGAGAAGGATCTCGGGACCATTTTCAATGACGAAATCCTCTGGGACGAGAACTTCTTCGGGAATCAGCGCAACTCAAGGAACGTCAGCCTCAAGGCCGTGTGCCAGTTCGCTCCCGACCATGTAGACCTGTCGGACTACTATCCCTCGGATGGCGTCCCCATGGAGCGACCTGAAGGGTCACGTATGAAGACCGTGGCGGAGTGTATCGAGCTGCTGCCACATCTTCTCAGCGGGCATCGGCGATTGAAAGAAGCCAGGTCATCTGAGCTTCGGCGTCTTGCCGACTTATTCGAGATGTATCCAGGTTATCTGATGTCTTCGAAGTCTGGATACTACGGCGTAAAGAACCCGCGACATATCACGAGAGAGCTCCGCGGCCGGGCTCGGACGTGGAGGAAGTCCAAGTCATACATGATGTATCGTCATCCGGTATTGGTGCCTCAAGACATCTGCTTTCGGATATTCTCCGTATTCTTAGAGAATATACGTTTGCCCTCGAGGGGAGAGGACGAGGACGACAACGAGTCCGAGGACCAAAGAGTAGAAAGGAAGATAGCCAACATAACCGGGATTAATGCGGATCTTCGAAAGGATTTTCAGACAGCCGCGGAGGGCATCGACTCCATACACACCTACGAGGGCACCTTCCCTCGAATAAGGTCTGTGGTATTCGAACAGGACTACATTGACTTCCGGAGGGAAGTTATGAGTGATCGGTGGACGGTCAGCGTGGACTCCAGGAAGTACGGGAACTTCTTCCCCGCAACCCCAAAGGAGATGGCATGGCTGGATTCTTTCCTGCGCTGCGTCAAATGGATCGAATCCCACAACATCGCCTGGGCAGAAGACTTTCAAAAGTATCCTTCGAGATACTACAACCGTTCCCGGAGGGGTATTGATATGAATACCTACGGGAAGACGACACCACCGAAAACAGAGATGTTACTTGAGCTGTCCGACTTTCGAGATTTCATCGACAACGCGCCTGTGGAGGAGGTGGCTAGACAACTGCAAGCCGACCACGACCTGTCAAAGGGAACAGAGACGGCGGGGCTCCCGAGTCTCACCGCCCTTTATATGCCCAAGTGGCCCTCGGCGAGGGCTGTAGAGGTGGCCAGATGCATCTGGCCTGAGGGATGGAGTCAAACATGGGACCGCCAAATGGCTGGGTGGCGATACAATAACATGAACAAGTCCATCAAGGATCGCCTCAAGAAGCCTCAGCAGAAGGAGGCCGCAGATGGGCTGAAAAGCGAAGACGTTCAGGGATACCGAAATCAGATTACCCAGCGGCAACTGTGTTATGTCTGCAGCAGGTCTCTAAGCCAGGAGCAGCGGCACAAGACACTGGGATCGATGTGCGTTGCATGCGGCGATTTCAATCTAGTCGAGAGAGCATATTCGATGCCGGGACATCTTTGGCTGTTGCAAAAGACGGCGCTCGTGACCGGCGCGCGCATCAACTTGGGCTTCCATACAGCTCTTCGCCTGCTCCGCTGCGGCGCATTCGTCATCGCCTCGTCGCGGTACCCGGAAGACGCCTTCTCGCGCTACCAGAAGGAGCTCGACTTTGAGGACTGGAAAGACCGGCTAAGGATCGTCGGGGCAGACTTCAGAGCGGCAAAAGACGCCTTCGCACTGGTCGAGGCGACGAAGGTGATACTGCGCAAGGAAGACCGGAGGCTCGACATCTTGATCAACAACGCCGCGCAGACTCTTACTGATCCTATCAAAAAGGAGCAGATCGCTACTACCTGTGAGCAGGAGCTACTCGAGCAATCGGGGGCGTCAGATGCTGTCAACCAGGTTGTTGTGCGCAGCGGATATACCGCGCGGGTTCGTGGCGGCGCTACTCTCCCGGGGATTTCTGGCCAAGATATGAACCTTCTTGAGGCAGCGTCGCAAACGGACTCCGCTGTCATAGAGACGCCAATGTCGAACATGCAAATCTCCTCGCCTCCAGGGCCGTCTTCGTGGGTCCAGTCTCTCTCCGACATCCCATACGAGGACGTCATCACAGCGCACAGCGTCAACACCTTCGTGCCCCTCATCCTGATCCGCGAGCTGCTGCCCGGCATGCAAGACGGGCACATCGTCAACGTGTCGTCGAGAGAGGGCATCTTCGAGGCGGACCGCAACAGTTCAGCCAAGAGGGGCCACCACGTGCACACCAACATGTCCAAAGCCGGGCTCAACATGATCACCGAGACCGAGGCGGCCACGGCCTGGAAGAAGCACAAGGTGGCTATGAACACCGTGGACCCCGGATACATGAGCGCTGCGCCCGAGTACGAGGACGCGCGAGGTGGCGAGAGACCCATTGGATGGGAGGACGGCGCGAGTCGAGTACTGTGGCCCATTGCGAGGAGCGTCAGAGAGCAGAAGGACCCGGAGACGATGCATGTGAGAAAGGGCTATGCGCCGATGTGGGGCCGGTTCTTGAAGCATTACGGGGCGGTTCGCGTTGATACTCGTATGTCGCAGTAGACGGACTCTTCAAGACAACGGGCTGGGTAGGTTAGGAGACTGGGTAAAAAGTGGTAGAAAGGTTCATACCGTGCAGGCGAACAACTCTGGCTGACGAGAGAAATACAATATAACTAGCATGGCTGTCATCTCTGTTGTCCCCTTTTAAGCTGACCATCCGCACAATTCAGTGCTCCTGTGATGTCTTCAGCCTGCTGAACCTCTGTCAAAACCAGAGTCATCGAGTTATAGGGCACGATATGGTCTTGAAAGACCGTAGCACATACCGTGTGCATTTGAGTCCCTTCCGGCAAAATCTCCGTGTCGGCGCCGGCTCCGATCCGATGGGCCCACTTATCGCCGGGGCATCACCGGGCTGCCTCTGTCGAGCAGCTACGGCGATCTTTTGGAGTTAATCTGGTTGGCTATGAATATATTATGATGCTATGTACGAGACCGGACGAGCCCAACTGTCGATGGGAGTGCGCATGATGGTGTCGAAGCAGGCAGATGTTGTTTGCTGTAGACTTGACAGGGCCTAGTTGGATGCGAATACCTTATCATTTCAATGAAGAGGTTCCACAGACCAAGGCAAATTTCTCGATATCTTTGCATTCTGAATCTCTTTCTCTGCCCAAATGCAGGCCAGAGGTCTGAGGAAGAGCGGCAAGACAACCGCCTTGTGCAGGGTTTGTTTGTTGGTCGGGTAGCTGCTGCACAAGCATGTTTGGCCTGTGCTGAATGGGCAAACAAAAAAGGCATGTCCAAGGTCCAGAAAACGCGTTGACGCTTATCTCTTGCTTTCTATCTAAAATGTCTGGTCGCTGGCACGAGAGATGCTACCAGTCTTTCGCTGCACCCGACTTCTCGAAGCTTCGTCGACTGGAGGCTGCCGTCAACAATCGCTCCTTCCAATTGGGAGTTCGTTCTTTTCGGTTCTTTCTCATTGAGACTTCACAGAGAGCCCCACATAACGAGTGCTTGCCGGCTACCTACCCGCGATCCCATACTCCTTGGGCTGCCACCGAGGGTCTCGCAAACCCATTTCCCCCGACAACCACACAACGTCCACGATGCCCGAAACTTCCGTCTCCGAAGCGGCGCTTGCCGCCGTGCCTGATGAAGTTCGCTGGTGTCTCCGGTGCTTGGGATGGTATGCAGGCGAGTTCAAGGGCAACCGTGGGCAGTTTTGTCAGGACGTCGACTTCGCATGCTCAGGAGCTGTCGGAGGTAGGCGCGCCGCTGGTCTCGCTGGGTTTCCGTGAAGCAGCCACAAGCTCACATCCTCGCAGGCCCCGACGAAAAGTGTGCGCGATGTCCCCCAACAGCAACGCACACGTGTCTGACAGTGAGGAACCTTCGGCTCCTACTGGTACAACTCCTGATAACATTCCCAGATTCCGGATTCTGTGTGGAAGCTCGCCCGAGAAATCATTGCTCGCCGTCGAGCCATGGTCGATTTTGAAAAGAAGAACCCGATGAGAGACGTTAGTGCTGCAGTACGTACCCTTATTATGAGCTGTTTAGCACGTCGCCAAAACTAACGATTGCCTCGCAGGACCGTCGGGCTCTGAAGGCCGATTTCAAGATCGTCAGAGACCGTACCCGAGAATACTATAAAGACAGCGAGAGGCGCGATTCGGAGCACGTTGAAGACTCTGAAGACGAAGACGATGCGCCCCCACGCCGAAAGCGCCCTCGCCGTTACGCCTCCAGCATTCTGTACGACGACTTCCACGCTTCTGAGCCTGAGACGGTACGCAACCAACACGGCCAGCAAGAGCGAGCCAGCGCGAACACGCACGCTGACGATGACCTGCAGAATCGTCCCCGAGCCAGCATCGGCCCTCGAGTTCAAGGGAGGTCGCCTGCGGTACCTGACGGTACCGAGCAACTTCTCCAGGCTGCTAGCAATGCTGTCAAGAAAGTGGCCAGGCTCACTGCCCTCAAGCCCGAAGCCGACAAGCGCTTTGCAACCGCGGCTCTGCAGTACTTCGGACTAGGCCCCAACGTGCCGAACAACCAGGCGCCGGGCGTCTCCCAACTGCTGAGACAGACTGGTCATCACGCAGATGGCGCCGCTCGCGAGGCTGCCGGGGAGGTTTCGAGGATTTCGGGGGAGCTGAAGGATGCGCACACTCGCCTGGGCGAGGCCGTGTTCGCTATCGTGGCATCTGGAGGTGTCCCGCCTGAGAGATCAGGGGACGAACAGATTTTGGGGGTGCTTCGGATGCTGGGACAGAGAGGTGGTCAATAATCGCTGGCTTGCGGATCTGGTAGTGGAGCGGAACTGTCGGAGAGAACCTAAGGGTGAACCAAGCAGCATGGTATTGAGCCGTGGAACTAGCAGAGAAACAGCTTCGTCGTTGGCTCCCTGTCGCCAATGTCAGGATCGGTACCTAGCTAGGCATATGCGCTATATGAATTGGATGTACTCGCCGAGAACCAAATCGCGAACAGAGTGTATGTATTCTCAGGAGTCTTTCGACGCTGCCGGTCTCAGCTTGTTCCGAGCGTGTGTTTTCCTCCTTTGACCCACCTCCAAGGCATCATATCGAAAAAACAAAAACAATTCGACCCTGCGGCCTCGAGGCAGCCACCCTCGCTTGGTCTCTCCAGTGCCCTCGTCTATCTTCTTCTCCTTCATCCATCCTATTCACCTTCCTTGCCCTCCTCTTCTGCTTCGTCCATCCCCTTCTCCCTCCTTGCCCTCCTCTTTTGCCGCTCCGCTTCTGTTCACCACATAGCAGCATCTTTCCAGACAGCCTGTGCCTCCCGCCGTGATGGTCTCATCCCACTTTGAGTCTGAATTTGCCACCGACAAGGAGACTCGCTGGTGTCTCCGGTGCTTGAAGTGGTACGCCGGCAAGTCCAAGAACAAACGCGGGCAAGAGTGCCAGGAGCTTGATTTCACGTGCAGCGGAGCTTCGGGGGAAGGTAGGTACCTCTTTCCGCTCTTGCCACTTGTTGCTGACTCCCTGCTCAGACAGATGTGAGCGGTGCGCGAAGTTGGGAAAGTGCCTTATCGTCAGTAGCACCTGCAACATTGCCATACAGCACACGTACTGACCAAGTGCTAGATCCCTCCGTCGCAGTGGCTTCGCGCCCAAAATGTCATCGCTCGTCGTCGCGCAATCTTGGAGTTGCGCCAGCTTCATCCCGACGCGGAGATTAGCCCCGACGTAAGTCTCTTCTCAACCCAAGTGAACGCGTTTGCTGACTCTCGAGAAGGATACTAGCGCTGTAGTGCGCGCCCTTGCAGCTGTCCAGTCTGGCACCGAGAATTACTACAGCCGTCTCGAGAAGAACGATGATAAGGACGATGATAGCGACAGCGATGATACCCACGAACAAGACGTCCGCGCCGGCTCCTTACCCACCGATGCTGATACTCGCCCTCGACGCTCCGTGCCTACCGTGAACTACTCTCGGTCCGCCTTGTACCCCGCCGAGACACTCAAGGCCTTTCGCTCGGCAGGCAAAGACAGGGTCTCTTCGAAAACCTCCGCATCGAACCCCGCAGCCGCCCCCATCTCTCGCCCCGTCAGTCGCCAGACTCCCATTCTACCTAGCGCAGGTCCGGCTGAGCCCGTCCCGGCTGGCTCAGCAGTCCTGGACCCCGGCAGTATTGCCGGCGCCCTCGCCGTCTCTCGGCATGCAACACCGGCACCCGCTGCTGCCATGGTTTCCCCAGACCGATTCGCGCGAGTCATAGAGGCCATCGGCGAGGTGTCCCGTCTGACGGCCGCTCGGAATGAGGCCATCAACCGCTTGGGAGAGGCATTCTTCGACGCGGTTGTGCCAGGAGAGCCCGCACCTGTCGCACGTCTATTGGACGATCAGGTGCAAGATGTCCTGAGAATGCTGGGCCACGCCGGTGGGAACGTTGGGAATGAGTGAGCTCCACGAATGGACTTCGTAGAGGAGGCAAGACCCCTCTCACGGAGAACAGAAGCAGAAGGATGACAATGGCAGGGGTGGACGACGACGGCGACGACAGCAGAGACCACGGACAGTGGTCAAGAGTAATGGTCGTGATGGAGCGCAAGGGAGTTGGATCGTGGGCATGTTTGGTGGCGTGTCACAAACTCACGATGGCTTTGACTAAATCCCTTAAACCCCTATGCCATCACCGTGTCACCACCCCATGTGGCGTAATATGTGGCTGTGGTGGCGCAGCAGCACAGCAAGCCGGCAATGCTGGGTGCGAATTCGCTGCCGAAATCTTCAAATAGGAACAGAATTGGGGGGGAAATGATTTCCTTCGTCTTTGGATGCATGAAGAGTTTACTGCAATTGACTCCTCCTTCACGCCTGGAAGCTGCATATTCTGGTCTGGCGCACGCCAAGCCTTGAACGCCACACTTCGCACGTAGCAGGTTCTAGGCCTAGCTTGAGCCACACTACGACGTCATAGAGCCATCACTGGCTGGCACGCCAGGGAGCTCTAGCTCCGGTAGCTCAGCTGAGGTAGCTGCGCGACAGCCAGATCGCGATTGCCACGACCAAATAAAAGCTGGCCGCCGGCCTATGTCACTTTTACCTAGCAGTCACTTTCCCCAGCTGCTCTCGCGATCTTTTGTTTACGACATCAACGCCATCCCGAGAACCGCAACCCGACATCGACCCCGCACATCGCTCATCACCATGGCCGACCAACAGACTGTCGCCGAAGGGCAAGCTTCCGGTTCCAACAGCCGTAACCGACGAGTGGCCAACTCGGTGCAAGCCAAGGCCCAGGAGGTCCTGTATGTACCACCCCTGAACTTCCATGAACGTCCGACGAACGCTGACCAACGTTTAACAGGCAGGAGGACTACGACAAGGCGAGAGGTCTTGTCGCCGACGCTGCCAAGAGCAAGTCGTACCTGTATCCCATCAAAGGCATCATCTACTTCGCCACGCACCGAGCGCTATGGAAGCCTCTGATGTCGCGCATCGGGGCCTACATCCTCCTGTCCGCTGGTGTTGTGACCGGCATGTTCGTCTTCACCTACGTGCCCCAGCTTGCTATCCTCGTCTTCGTCAACGGTCCTCTGGCGGTCTTCACCACCGTGCTGTTGATCCTGAACGAGAGCTCGACAATCATCAACTTCGTCTCACGATCGTACCTTTTGCAAGAGGCGCTTTTGGATACCTTTGACGGCACCTTGCTTTCGAGGGACGAGGATGGCATTGTGAAGGAGGGAAGACAGGTCCGCCCGGGCTCTGACCCGATGCAGAAGCTGGGAAAGATTCTCAAGAGCCCGTTCGACAGGTTCAGCCCGAAGGCTCTCATCCGCTACCTGGTCTACCTGCCCCTAAACTTCATCCCCATCGTGGGAACGGGAATCTTTATTCTCCTCCAGGGTATGTCGACGGAACCACTCGTGGCATAGCCAAGCTAACACATCACAGCCCGCAGCCGGGGCCACAGTGTCCATGGACGCGTACGTATCTTCTGGCCGACTTCATCCACACACCCCTGTCTGACTTCCCTTGTCTAGTACTTCCAACTGAAGAACTGGTCCGCTTCCAGGAGGGCCGACTGGCTCAAGAGACACACTGGGCCTTACACGGCGTGAGTTTGGTGTATATGAGCGTCCTCTATACTGCGTACTGACTAGCATGGTGCAGTTTCGGCCTCATGGCAACTGCGCTTGAGATGATCCCCTTCGTCAGCATCTTCTTCACATTCACAAACACGGGTAGGTGTGCTCGAAGCTCCTGCCGAATGTCACTGACAACTGTCGCTAGTTGGTGCTGCTCTGTGGGCTGCCGATATCGAGGCCAAGAACACGTCCATGACCGATGGCACGGCTCCCACTCTTCGCGAGACGGCCAAGAATGCCGAGTAGGCGACGACGCACAGCATTGTGGAGTCGATCTCAACTGCACCGGTCGAGGACGTGCTTCAACTTGGCACCCAAACGATGCGGAACCCCCTCGTTTCTTCGGGTAATGGTACCACGGCATCTTGACAGCAGTCTTGAATCTTGTGTTCCTTTATCGAACTCGGCTCGCGGGTCTTTCGCGGCGAGATCTCACGGACAGGTGGGGGGCAATGAGAGAGACGTCCTTTGCGTGCATTATCATGATGGAATTCGGTTTGGAGTCCTAAGGTAGGTCTTTGGGAAAGTACATGGAAATTTTGAGAGCAGCGCATGAAATAATTGTTAATGACGATTTGGAACTTTACGAATGACAGCAAAGATTGACAGATGACTCCCGCGCACCAATCTGGGCTGCCGCGTCTTGTCTCGCAGTCTTAGATGGTCCCTTCACGTGTCCCAAAGGCTTCACCTGCGCGGCTGCCACTCAATAACGATTCTTACACAAGCAGCTGTCTTGAGCAGAAGCAAGACGGAGCGACACCAAAAGAGAAATGACTCTAGTTGCTGGCACGGACACTAATCGCTCTGAGACGAGACACCGCGAGCCCCCGCACTGAGGACATCGGTCTTGTCACACACTGTTCAGGCACAAGCAATCTCGTTTGGCAGTACACGGCTACCCACAGGCTGCGCGATCTTGAACTGAACACCGTCCACATACCTTCCCGTCTATCCCCCAAGAAGACAGGATGAGGAAGGCCCCTGAATTCAGGTCCGGAGAGCCCGTTGGGGCCATGCCTCAACTCCGTTGGGCGGGCATCCGTTATCAACATGCTACCGCAAGTGCGACTGTGGGAGATACGACACTCTTTGGTGTTGAGCGTCATGTCACGCTGTGCGTGGTGACTGATAGTGGATGTGACGATGCGTTGAACATGAGAAGAAAACGAGACTCGGATCATGGTCGCTTCTTTCATCACGGTCAGCGCAACAGACGGCGACCAGATGGGCTTCTCGGAGCAGAGTGTCTCACGTCGGAGATTCGATTGTGCGCTCTGGCGAAGACAATCAGTTGATGTATCGATAGTGGTGGAGGATCGCAAGTGAGCCCTCATCGCGAAGCACCTCTAGCTTCATCATCGGATCTTTGCTTGCTGGGACGGGTGGCGATGGGGATCGACCGAGGCCGTTGCCCGCTATGGCTAGTGCTGCTACCGGCAAGCTCACCGATGCCAGCAGCTCAGTTGAAAGGAACGCTGTGCTATCGTGACCGAGCAAGCCGGAATCCACCCTGATCCATCCGATCCAACCATGTATAGCTTCCCTGGATCGCTAGTATACGACCACAGTGTATCTTCCATCTCAGAGTGGGACTTGTTTAAACCGACTTAACTGTTTCTGGGATGAGTCGGAAGCAGGAGCATGATGTAAGGTCGGGGCAGGCACGATCAAGTGCGGAAGACGTGCCCTCCTGGGACGCAATGTGTGACCGATGACTCTCTTGAGAAGAGAAAAGAGTGACTTTCGTTAGAGAATGTGCAGAAGAAGCAGTGTATCCTTCGCACGAGGGCGTCTCTCCATCGAAGATGTCACGACCTCTGCCTATATGTGCTCTACCCCCGCGGTTCGTACCCATAGGCCTTACTTCCTACTCCCCCTCGACCTCGCCTCTCTTTCCTTCTCCCCCTTAACAACCTCTTTCTTTCCACTCGAACCCGAGTGCCAAGGTTGTCAACGTTCGTTTCTATTACCGGAGGCTTTCACTCACTCTATCCGCATCTACAAGCAAGAGCAGGCGGCAAGCCCTTGAACCCGACTGCCAGGTTAGCCCTCCTCCCCATCCGGCCAACAGCGCAAGGATCCGACCTTCCTTCAGCTCATCGATATGAGAATCTCGAATCTCATCGCCGGCATCGCGTCGGTTGCTGCGCTGCTTCCGTCTTTGGTGGGCGGCACCGCGGCGTCCCCTCTTGAGGTCTATCGCCAACAGGACGAGGTCCAGTCCGCAGTCCTCCACAACCTGGAACACCATGCTCGAGACCCTCAGGACTCTGATGATTTTCTCAGCTACGACTATGGATACTCGGGCCCTCCTCCGCCTCCTCCGACCACCTATGGCGAGGAGTCGTCGACAGAACAGTATGATGCCGCTACCACCGATGGTTCGTTCCTCCATTCAGAATATGTGCGCGGTTGACTAACTCTCAACTAGAAGAATACTCAACAGAAGCCAGCATGGCGACAAGCGCGAGCGGGACATCTAGTGACTCTTACCCTGCTTCTGCCAGTGCCACTGCTACCTCTGGATCATCTTCCGCCTCTTCGGATACCGCCACTACCTACCCACCTACGACTGCCTCCTCAGGCGATTCTGCATCGTCAACTAGGTCATCCGGCGCTATCTTATCACCAACCACAACAGACACTGAGTCGGGTACCCTCGTAACAGTCTCAGAGACATCCACGAGCTCAAGCTCAGGCTCAAGGGGGACGTGGAACACCACGACTCTTGCGCCGTCTCCGGCCGTGAGCTCTTCAATCTCGTCTGCAACATCAGTGGGTTCCTTTGCCAATAGTAATAGCACAGCAACTACTTCCTCGACACTATCTGGTTCAAAATCTGCCACTCTGGTACCGCCGTTCACTGCGTCCAACTCGTCAGTGACTGCAACTGGTACCGCGCCTGGGACATCAATCTTGCCAAGTTCGCTTTTCAACACATCGTTCCCAGCTGGCCCGACCTTGACGCAGCCTGTTGAGTCCCCATGGTCGACTTGGAACTCGTCTGCCATTGCCTCGCCAACGTCTTCCGGAGTGTCCCAATCTACCACCTCAGGGAACTTCACGTCCATATCTGACATCCCGATTCCTCCAGCATGGACGTCTGGTACTACAACCCGGGCTTCAAACTCGACGAGCTTATCTGCAACATCAACCATCCAGGGCTCAACCACGGGACCAGTCACGGTAGTGCCGTCTGGTGTCTCCGGTTTACCGTCAGGTTCTGCATATCCCACAGAAACGAACGTTCCCTTCCCGTTTCCCAATTCGACGATCACTATCTCTACTGAAGGCACAATCCTCATCTCCACAGTGCCGAACACGGCATCCGTCTTTCCAACAAGCCTTACAGCCGTGCCTCCTTTCCCCGCCAACTCCAGCTCCATAATCTGGCCGAGTGGCACCATTGCCTCCATCACTGAAGAGCCTGAGCCCTCGTCAACTTCACCTTGGAACAGTACTTTGACCTCCTCGCCAGTCAGATCAGGAACCGACCCAAATCTTTCGCTGTCCCCCAACTCAACGCTCTCGGCCAGCACTAATGCTACTTGGACGGGGACGAGTCGATCTGCGGATCCAGCGACGTCTACATCTGGGGTTTTCGTGCCCCCTTGGCCTGTTTCCAATTCTACAACCATACCTAGAGGAACAGGAACGGGAATGGGAACGATTCTCACGACAACTGGGACTGCGGCGTCTTCACGCCCAACTCCCACAGCACCATGGCCTGCGTTCAACTCAACCACAGTATCCCTCACAGGAACAGTTTCCATCCCGGTGATTACATCGTCGATAATCGTCGGCACGGGGTTCTCAAGTCCCTCCAGGGTATTCACTTGGACAAATCACACCTCGGGTGTTCCAACTGGCAACATTACGGGTACTGGTGCAATCACGGCGACGGGGTCAGTAACCGCCACCACTCTTTGGCCAAGTGCGAACACTACCCTGAGCTCTCAACAGAGCGCGACTGCCTCTCAGGGCAACGGGACAGTTTTGAATACCTCAACGTCGAATGCGACTCTCAGCACCACATCGGGAGGGTTTTCTACAACCGACGCTCCTCCGTTTCCAACCGGCAACTCTTCTGTCGTTCCCTTCCCGACTGGGTTCAATACATCGAGCATCTGGCTTTCCACAGTCATGTCGACCCTTGTTATACCCGTAGGAACAGGTTCTTCACCTATCGCTACGATCGCAGTTTCAACGGTGCCTAGGCCACCATTCCCAAGTGTGAACGCAACATCTGCTGTTACCACGGGCAATGCAACTTCAACAATTTCAGTAACCGGGGTCACCGCCGATCCCACTCTGACCGGAATCTCTTCTACTGCCAGTTCTACGAGACCATCGCCTTCCTTACCACCCTTCCCGTCGGTGAACTCCTCTCGTCCAGCGAACACAATCATTACTATCTCTGGAACAGGCACCACGGTAATATCGACATTGACGGCAGGTACTTCCAGTACCAACTCTACCATCTCCTCGTCGCTGCCTCCATTCCCGGTCACGAACTCTACTTTATCTCCGTCTACCTTGGGCAGCATAACGAGTACGATCGCAGGCACAGGCGGCACACCGATACCCACGTTGACTGGAGGGACTTCGGTTGGTAGTGGTACCATCACAGGTCTACCAACTCCGACCACAGAGCCACCGTTCCCAACTCGGAATGGAACGTCGACGGTAGGACCTACAGGAACCGCACCTCCAGAAGGATCTGGAACTGTCTTCCTCACAACTGAGCCCCCAGAGACATCGAGCGGTCTCAACGCCACGGCAACGACGCCGCCATTCCCTGCTGGCAATGTCACCGTAATCCCAGTATCGACTGGCAACGTCACTGTCACGTTGATCTCCAGTGCACCGTCAGGCGTGGTCGCTTCGACATTGACAATCACAAGAGCCGACCGCCGCACCACGCAAACTCTTACAGTGCTGTGGTCTGCAATATTGACGCCGCCGTTCCCAACTTCAAACGGAACCGTTGTGCCTACTGCCACAGGGACTGGTCCTCCTCCCGGCACTGTGATACCAAGCGTGCCCTTTAGCCAGTTGCCGAACTCAACATTCTCGTCGCTGCCATCTTCGTCGTCGTCGTCTTCGTCAGTGTACCCTCCTACCGTGTCTTCGACTACTCCTGCCACCGTAACCAACGCAACGGGCCCGGCGGGATCTTCCACACCATGCCATACGGTCACCGTAACCAGTGGGACAGTGACTCAAGTAATTACCAGAAGTGTTCTGGTCTCATCCATGCCAACCTGCACGTCCAGGTGGCAGAACACAACCTCTACAAAGCCCTCAACCGGAGTCACAAACAGTAAGTATCAGCCTGTTTCTCCACAAAGGCCAGTAAACTAACATATGTTCCAGGAACTTCCAGCAACACCGCCACGACTTTCATCACATCAACAACCAAGGCTTCGGTCTCAGCCGAGGGAGACAGTACCTCCATGTTCGAGCCCGATGGCCCGGTGGTGCCGACTACCACAGTCAGCGACTTCACTCTGCCATCTAACAAGGCCTACCCTTGGGGTGGCAACGGGCCCCTCTTCCGGCGTCCCAACACAACCGCCATCGACAGTGAGGAGGTGTCAGTCCGCCTGCCTGGTGGGTGGTGGTTGCGGTGGAAGCGGCATTTTGACCGATCGCGATCGAGCGCGAAGGACAGGGGGGCAGACGTGACTCAGGAGACCTGAGAAGTACTGAAACACTGATTCTCCTTTCAACGTCTTCTTATTTTGCTTGAGGAACGATTAGCTTTGGACATGGGAGAACCGCTTTTCGTCTTTCTTTTCTCAATGGACGGATAGGACATATACCTACACCATGATCTTCTCTGTAATAGTCAAAGGGCGTGTTGGAGTTTATCTTTTGCTAGAGTAATGGAATGAAAGTCGACGACCATATCAATTCCAAACATCCTTAACCACCAAATCTTCAAACAGTGTCATTTCCATTGAGGAAATGCAGCAGGTTGCCCCATTCGGTATGACTTCAAAAGGCATTCAGGCATGGCACTGATTACCTCAGACGCAGTGCTTAATTGCAAAGCCTGCGTCACACTCTGGTCATGTGAACGCGGATAAAAGATCCAAACCCGCAGATGATCTGACGGGCTTGGTACGCAAGCTGTTGACATGTTTATCTCCGTGATTGGCTGCCACTGCTTGCCAACCAGCATTCGCCACTCCGTGCCGCACGCCTGCCTCCGACGCCCGCTGCATCCAGAGTATTGAAGAAGTGTCAGGCCCCCCGAGCATCCGCCCGATAGCTCGGAGATTTTTCATCCCACGCAACAATCTTGCATCGAATTGCCTTTGCCGAACGGAGATGGCGCAGCAGGGCGGCACGTATAAAGCCCCGCCGAGTAAGTCCAAACTATCACCTTGAAGTTATTGTAACGGGATTGCTGACGGTCGTCAACAGGGTTTACCTTCTCCTTCGGCCGGACCCAGTCTTTTACCGAGCCCTTGACCGAAGATAATGGCTCTATCGACGAGAAGTCAGCAGAGACCGACGCCGCTGACGAGAAGAATGCCGCTGCTATGACAACGGAAAAGGGTGCTGAGAAGGTGGAAGATGACGAGCGGGACTGGGTGATCGTTCCTAGGAACCCGGAAGACGAGCCGGAGGAACGCGCGGAGCCGAGGGGGATCTTTGTGTCTTACGGTATTGGTTCACCATGCGGCTGTTCGGTGAAAGGCGAGTTCAGGTTTGGGTGGGGGAAGGGTGGTGCGCCGACTGGGGAGGGGCTATGATGGGCGTGGCTGTTTTAAAATTTGTGATGGTCTCTTTACTAGGGCAATGGCAATTCGTATAACGAGAACATGTTTGAAGAATTTCTGGGTATAAAGAGGTTTTAGAACGGAAGTGTTCTAACAAAGAAAACAATCCTGCCAACCGATCCGTTCCTCCAACATCTCGCCTCCACTGACACCAGACACCGCTTCTCAAAGTTCCGGCAAAACTTCCGGCCTCCATCTTGACTGCTTCCAGCCCGCCCACCGAGACTCTCAGTCTCAACCGGAAGGGTTGCACTTAAGGTGCCACGAGCTTTGCGGCGTGCAGACAATCTTCTCGTTGTACTTGAGCGCCGTCTCGGCCTTGTCGTCGCGCTGGTGGTTGTACGTGATCCAGATGCCCTTCTGCGCAATGTCCCTGCCGTCGGTGCTGCGGCAGTCGGCGTTCGCCTCGTTCCACCAGCCCGCCTTGAGCTGCAGCTCGTCGTGGCGGTTCTGCATCGCCCACTTGATGTCGCCCCAGCCGAGGTCGTTGCCGGTCCAGAGGCCGGAGCAGAGGAGGCGTCGGGCCGGGACTGTGGGGCCGGCGTCGGCTGGGGCTGGGGCGGCGGTTGCGCCAAGGGCGAGGAAGAGGAGGGACTGGAGCTTCATTGTGGCTGGGTGTGGTGGGTTATTGAAGGTGTGATTTTGTGGCTTGTGTCGGGCGGGAGAGGGGATCTGGGGTTGAAGATGCAGATTAAAGATGGGACGATGGTCAGGCAAGACCGCTGGTCCAAGTATATATACAACGTTGAGCACGCGGGTGTTCCTGCAGTTCGCTCTGATCGCAATTTGCAGAGCTTCATATATGATATATTGCGTGGATCTAGAATCTAGTCTAACTTGCTAATGTCAATGACACTTTACCTTCTAGATCGTCCAGTGGGTGCTCATTGGAGCATTATGAACCATGGACAAAGACTGATTCAGTCACTGGTCGTTTGACCACGACCAGTATATTAAGTCCCGGTGGGATATTCAAGTCCCCATGTCTCCTTTCTATCGGCAAGCCCGTGCTCCCGAACCCCTCGCGTTGCCTGGTGGTACGCCCGAGTCGTTGTGCGTCAATTGCCTCCATGATGAGATGGTGATGGACGTGTTCTATGCGCGGGCAATTGAACGGTTATATTGCCGACAACCGCAGCAAGAAGGCCATAGAGCATCTTGCAGAATTTTCAACATACGGTGTGTGCTCGGACTTTCAAGACATTTGAGCTCGCGCAAGCGGCAAGCCTTGTGAGGAACAGCAAGCACCAAGGGTTCGGTTCTAGTTTGATGAAGCATCCAGGCCAAACCCCGCAAGTTCATCGCAGCCACCATAAGCGAAAAGCTTGTCTTACACTCCGTTGCGTTGACAGCGTCCGCCCCCCTTTTTTTTCCCCGCTTATATAAAAACATGAAAAAAAGCTAATTTTACGCTATAACGCGTATTTCTCTATATTACATATAAAACGTATTAAAGTTATTACTAACACCTTAATTACTATTAATTACTATAATCTTAATAGTATTTAAACGTATAACTATATAATAGAGATATAAGGTATATATTTTATACTTTTATAGTAGTTAATTTACTTATTAAAGTATTACTAATTTAACTAGTTACTTTATTTTTATACTATTTAACTAATAAAAAGTCTATTTTTATTATAAGAGATTAAAATAATATTTACTAAGGAATAAAAGAAAAGACTTATTATATAACTTTATATATCTACTTAATATATAGTTTATATAGCTTTAAATAATATATAAATATATTAAAAAGCTTAATATAGTTTTTTAAAGTAAATACTTTAGTAATTAATAAGATTAATAAATCTCTTAATAGCTTAGCTTATTTATAATATTAAGTAAAAGTTTACTATTATATAGATTATACTTTATTATTTATAGTTTACTACTAGTTAATATATATCTATAATTTATTATATTAAATATATTAAGAAAGATATTAAGTAATAATAATAATATAATAGCACCTAAAATATTAAATTTATAGCTATTAATAATTATAATAATACTACTATTTAAAAACTAAAAGACTTATAAACTAATAAGTATTATTAGCTATACTAAATAAATAATTTAATAATATAGATTATAATATAATATTATTAGTAAAATATAAAGATATAAGAAATACTACTAAAGTTAATAAAAAATAGAAATATAATATTATATAGAGCTTCTTAAACTACTATAGTATTATAGTAATCTATCTTTTAAAGAGATATAAGATTTTCTATATAAAACTTTTAAGATTTAAATTAATTATTCTATAATTAGTTAATAATTAAACTTAGCTAGCTAGATAAATAAGAAGTTTAAGATTATTACTACTTAATAAAGTAATAACTTATAATATAAGTACTTATACTATATATAATAATATTACTTTAATTAGCTAGTATTTATTAATAAATTTAGCGTTAATAAAGATATTAAGATATAGAGGATTAAATAGGTACTAAAAAAGCTTATTATATTTCAAACTATAGAGATTAATTAGTTTTAAAACTCTTATATATAAATCCTATTAGCTTTTATATTAAGTAATATCTTATATTTAATTATATATTATAATATAACTAATAGTAATAAGTTCTTTTATTAGCTATAAAAGTATTTTATCTTAAAGTATAAGTGTTTTCTAAAGCTAAACTTTATTATTATTATAAATAACCTCTTTTACTATTATATACCTTAAATTAAGATATTATACTAAGTATTAAGTATCTATTTTAAGTTTCTACTTCTATATTTATTAAATTTTAACCTTATTAAAGAGTATTTTAGTAATTTAAAGTAATATATTAAGAAGATATATTTAAAATAGAATAATAATAAGAATAATATTTAGGATTTTATAAAATATCTATATAATTATACTATAGAGATTAAGTATTATTTACTTTAGATTAAAAGCTATTTCTACTATTTATTTATTAACTTTAATAAGATAGAATATATATTATAATATTAAACTATAAAAAGGAGAATAAGCTATAGGTATTAAATATTAATAAGTAATCTAAATTTTTATTATATATTTATATATAATAAATCTTAATTATATTATTATATAATAGTTAATTATTAAATTTATAATTATAGCTAATAAGATTACTAAAAAGTTAGCTATAAGTATATTAAAATATAAAAAATATATTATTATCTATTATTTTTATTAATAGCTATATATATATATTAATTTTACCTATATAATAGCTAAAATATATTATTAATACTTATAATAATAATTTATAATAATAATATATTATTATAATTAGAGATTTTAACTATAGTTAGAGATTTTAATTACCTCTAATTAGTATTAAGATAGACTAAAGTATATTATTTATAGATCTAAAATAATAGTAATTCTATTACTTTTATATATATAGAGTAATAGTATTAAATCTATAGCTATAAGTAGACTTTTCTATAGTTAAATATATTATATAAAAAATTATATATATAGTTAAACTTTATACTACTCTTATTATATTACTTTTCTTTATTATCCTCCTCTAAGTAATATATCTCTATTAATAATATATTACTTAAGATTTTAATCTAATTATTCTTATCGCTTTACTTAACTTTATTTTATTTAATTTATAACTATATAAGTAATATTTATAATACTAATAATAATAATAATAAAATAAAACTAAAGAGTTTTAAAATACTTATAAAGTTAGCTATATTTAATAATAAATAGCTTTATATATACTTACTATATTAATTAATTTTAACTAATATACTATAAATCTCTTACTTAATAAATTAATATAATATTAAGGTATTAATATATTAAGATAACTCTAACTTATTTAAAACTAATACTATAGAGTTTTTAATTAGTACTATTATTATCCCTCTTAGTAATTTAATATATTTTTTTATATAAATATCTCCTTCTAACTTTTAATAGTTTAAATAAAGTTTAGAGTGAGATATTATATTAGAGAAGGTATTAGATTACTTTTTATAATAAGTACTATTATCTATAAAAGATTTAATTAAGTTCCTAATATCTTTAATAAGATATTAAATAAAACCTTATTTAGTAAACTAAATATCTAATAACTTATAAATTACTTATAAGCTACTATTTACTAATTATAGTTTTTATAACTTCTTTTTAAACTCTTTATTAATATTATATTACTTATTATAAATAGATATAAACTACTTAATAAAGTTAATTACTTAATCTAAAGCTTTTTAAGGTAAATTTAGTATTACTAATAAGGATAAATAAATTAAAAGTATAATACTTAGTTAATAAGTACTTAAAATATTTAATAGTAGAAGAGTTAGTAATAAATATTATGAAATATTTATATATAGCTAATATAGTAGTAGTAATGCTATTAGTAGTAGTAGCTATATATATAGGTTAGAATATTAAAGATAATAATTTAGTGCCCTTATATTACTATATATATTAATAATAATATTACTATTAGTATTAGTTAAGCTAGATCTTAACTTTAATAATAGAAGTATAGCATTTTTAGTTTTCTCTTCTATTATTATTATTATCTATTAATTATTATTAACCTTAATAATATTCTTACTTCTCTTATTCTAATATTTCTAATCCTCTATAAACTAATTATAAAGAATCTTACTAAGTAGTTCTTTAAGTAGTTTTATATTATTAACGTTAGCTTATTTAGTTATAATAACCTTTACTTATTTCTCTATATAATAAGATTTAATTTTATAGTACTTTTAGTTTAATATATAATATTAATTAAACTTCTTATTACTTAAACTATTCTTATATTTTTAGTACTTTAAGTAGATATATATATAGAGAAGTTATCTATATATTCCCTCTTTCTAACGCTTAATATTTATAAGATTATTAGCTTTATAATTAATTACTTCTTATATATTAGCTAAAATACCTATTTAGCTACATTTTTAAAGTATTTATATATTAATTACTATATTACTAGAGATTAATATAATACTATATTACTACTTAATAGTAAAATAAACTTTACTTCTCTTTTTAGCTTATTTAAAAGAGGGGATAATATTAACTTATAGAATACTTAGCTAAATAACCCCTCTAGTAAATAGATAAACCTAAGTAAAAATTAATATTAGTTTAGATATATTAATAAGTTTCTTCTAAATAATAATAATAATAATATTAGCTTTTTTTATAATATATAAATAAACTACTTCTACTTTAAATTAAGTATTACTATTTACTTCTTAGTCTCTACTATTTATATTTAATATAAAAGTAATACTAAATCTATTATATATAATACTCTTAATAGTTAGATTAAAAATAAATAAACTATTACTTTTAAGTATTAAGCTATAAATAACTTAGATTTATAATAGAGTTAGTTCTTTATTATTTATATTATCCTCTTCTTTAAATATATTATAGAATAATATAAATATATTATTAGTACTATAATAAGAAGCTATAAATATATTATCTATAAATTAAGTAGTTTAATAAGAAGTTAGGTTAACTAAAGTTAAGTTTAGTTAAAATAATAGTATTAATAAAAGTAAAGTATTTTAAAGCTAAATTATATATAGTAGATCTTTTTTTTACTTCCTCTATATTATTATTACTTTTTAGTAAGAAGATACTTTTAGAGCTCTTTATAATAATAGAGAAACTATAAATATATATTTTCTTTATAATATAAACTTAGCTATTACTAAATTATTAGTTTTAAGTTTAGCTTTAGTAATAATAACTTTTTTAATAACCTCTTTAATAGTAATAACTTAATAAGTTTTCTTAGTAAATATAATAATCCTAATTAATAATAAAGTAAAGTATTAAAAAGGATTTCTAATAGTATCCTATATTAGTTATTATATATATTATTATTTCTATATACTATTAGTAATAAGTAATAGATAATACCTAAAAAGGTTATTATTTACTTATTAAGCTATATAGTAGCATTTAAGAGGTATTATAATACTTTTAAATAATAAGATTTAATAGAAATAGATTAATTAAAGCTATTAGAATAGGTTAATTACTATACTATAAATATCTATATAGCGTTGGGTAAATTTTTATATATATATAGGGATTATATGTATGTAATTTCGGCAAAAAGGGGGGGCGGACGCTGTTAACGTAACGGAGTGTATGGAACCCCCAGGATTTCAATTGACAGTTGCTGAACCTGTGGGCCACGGGGTACCTGTCACTGACGGCATCGCCTGGCTATCGTGCGCATCGACCCGAATGCGATGCTGTCGCAGGGGAGACGACATTGATTGACTCGTTGGCAGCTTTGGGCCCTGCAGTGCTAATTATCCCGTCAGCTCCCTTTGTCGCCAAAAAGGAACTGCCTGACCAATGAAGATCGACCCATACTGAACAAGTTGCTCAATTGGTCTGGCAAAAAGAACATACGAGGGCGTCGGGTTATGCCACTGGTAGCCATTTGATGGAATAGATGGCGAATGAGGAAAGAAGTCTTCACTGGATTAGCTGAACTCTCTTAGACCACAGTCGTTGACTTAGGCGGCGAGGCTTGTCGCTGCACGCTGGAGCTTATCCCTAATCGACAGCATTTCAAATCTTCGCAGTTCGAGGAAGAAGAATGGGGAGGGATCCTGTTATGTTCTCGTGTTGCGCTGAGTCAGTCACTCATGGCCAACCCGAGCAGCTCGTTCCCATAAGCAAATGCCTTCACGCTACGCATCACGCTGGTTATTATAAACGATCGTATCACCTTTCAGAAGTTGAGCTCGAATAATAGAACACACTTTTACAACTGCGCAACTCAATCTCAACCCTTTTAGTTCATACGAAGATGAAGATCACTTCCGTCGTTTCTTTCCTCGCCGTCGCTGTCGCCACGGCGCATGCATGCGGCTACTGCCAGTGCCAGTACTCTGATGGCAGCCACTGCTGCGTAGCGCACAGCAATGGCAAGACTTGTGACGAGGTCTGCAACGGTGCCGCCTACGGCGTCACCCTCGGCAGAGAAAAGTTGTACTGCAATGCTGCGGGCGCTTCGAACTGCATCTCATGGTCTTCTTACCAAGATCGGAAACAATGCATCGTGTGTAGTTCACAGTTCTTTATTCTGATTGTGGGGGGCTAACATTACATCACAGTATATCTCCTCTTGGCCCATGCTGTTTCGACGATGGATGGTATGAGAGCATTTCTACGCGCAGAAAAACGACCGCGGGATTCAGTTTGGTATTTGGGCGTCTGGACGGCTTTGAAAACAAGCAAGTACCTGAGGTGTTTGTTGGTGTCTTTTCTATAAAGATCCTTCGGCCGAAGTTCAACTCACTCACGTCATCGGATGGAACGGGAGATCGGGTGGCGTGGTTGCGTCAGTCACTTGGACATTTCTAAAAGTTGGAGACTATCCACGAACATGTTTACGTATGCAAGCCCTTTGATGGGACTTGTAACCAAAATAGCCATTTGACTAATATCCATCAACAAAAGCATCAAAATTGAGTTGAGCTTGGCTGCCAGTGAAGTGCCGGCGGGCAAAGAAATGTCCGACGCCTCGGGGCGGGGCCGGCCCCGGCCTTACTTAGACCGGTAATGCACCACCCGGTGCGCCGCTATTTAGACCCTTTTCAGGACTCTTCCAACATTGCAGCGCGAGCCAAAACAATTCAGAAATCGCCAAAATGCCAATCTATCACATTGGTATCTACCGCACGCCACTTGTCCCTGAATACTGCTGACTTACCCTGTCACAGTCCTGTTCAAGCTCAACCCCAACACCGACTCATCCCAAATCTCGGAGATGCGCGCCGCGGGCGACGCAATGGTCGGTGTCGTCCCGGGCCTCAGGTCCTTCACCCTGGGCCCGCCGCTTGCAAGCACGGCGCACCGTGCGCAGGGCTTCGATATGGCGCTGATGACGGTGATGGACACCGAGGAACAGGTACTGGCATACGCGGGCCATCCCGCGCACCTCAAGTAAGGAATACCCCCGACGAGATCGATGATGTGCATGGTCTGATGGGACGGTTTAGGCTCCATAAGATTCGGGAAGCCGTTTGCACGGAAACTCTGGCGTACGATCTGGTTGTGCCTTGATTGGGACGGGGCGGGAGTGGAAGGGAGATCGGACGAACTCCGACAGAGGAGGTCCGGGTGGGTTCCGGTGGGTTCCGATGGGTTCGGTGGGCTCCCGCGCTCACCGTATGCGACTGCTTGACCAAAGATACTCGCGAAGAACTGTTCCCAACGATATAAATTGATGGTGTTGATGTCAATGGTGCGTATGTTTCGGCAGCGTGCCGACTCCGTGAAAATATTGTGATTATTATTCAGCCCGCAGTAGCCAGTCCACATCCCAGCAGACTGAACAGCACAATCGACGGTATTAAGGTTCAACTCGTTCCTAACTCCTTGGCTACAAGCCAGGATTAAACGGACACTTTGTCTCCCGAAAGCCCGCACTGCGTTTTCTTGACTTTGTTTATAAAATTGTTGCCCATGCTGATTGGGAACAGAACGATGATGGCCATTCACTTCAAGACGTCAATTACCGAGTCATCATAGCTGTTCTTTGAACACGCAAACATCAAAAGAATGACCCAAATCCCGAAGAACCTCCAAGAGCAGTACCAAAAGCTGCGTCTTTCGCCGACAAAAATAGAAAAGTGGGAAGATGGTCTTCGAACTGACCCGTCAAAGTCAGGCGTGTTCGAATGGTGGTATTTTGACTCCCACTTGGCCAACGGCGCAAAGCTGATGGTCGTCTTCCACACCAAACTCTTTGCGAGCCCCAACACCGGCTTGGAACCCAAGATCCAAGTGCAGCTCGACACACCCGACGGACGCTCGTGGGCCATCACCAAGACCTACCCCGCGAGCAGTTTCAACGCGAGCATGGAAGAATGTAACGTCACAGTAAACGGGGAGGAAGACGGTCAGATTAACTTCTTTCGCGGCAACGATTTGAACGCATTTCAAATTCACGTCGTCGTCGATGACTTGACCATTGACGTACAGCTGATCAGCACGACATCACCCTGGCGGCCCGGGACCGGGCACGTGTATTACGACGAAGACGAGTACTTTGCCTGGCTAGTCGCGGTGCCCCAAGGCAAGGTCACTGCAACATACCGAATCGGCGGCGAAGAGCCGGTGACTGCGGAGGGCGACGGGTACCATGACAGGAACTGGGGTAATGTGTCGCTGGCAAAGGTCATTAACCATTGGTACTGGGGACGGGGCACTGTGGGACCGTATACCGTCATCTCTTCCGCGACGATCAGTTCCGACAAACTTGCGTATGCGATGGGGATTTCCTTCATGATCCAAAAGAACGATACTATCGTGGCCGAAGACGCGGGAAAAGTGGTGTTCACAGCGACAGACGTCGGGGTTGACGAGCAAACGGGCCGCTCCGTTGCTGATAGGCTTCATTTCGAGTACCACGATAACGAACTGGTCTACACGCTTGAATATGTCAAGGACAAATTTACGTCGCGGCAGAAGATGGGTGATGGGTGGTATTTGCGCTTTGCTGGCACTCTGAGGTTCAAAAAGTATGAGAGTGGCAAGGTGGTAGAGGAGCATGAGAGCCGCACTCAGTGGGATTCAATGTGGTTTGGCCAAGCTCACAGAGATGCACTCATGTATCAGAAATGAGGAGGGCGGTAGAGCGAAGACCGGCTCAATATACATGAAAAACTGATCAGAGGTTGAATCATACTACCATGCTTCACTTAGCTGATTCTGCATCCCAAAGTTTTCATCATGGAGAATAGGACATGGTACTCCTCCATCTGTGAAAATTCCGACCTGCTGCTTCCTCAACGGCTGAGTCACCAATCAACAGGATCATGAAATTTCATTTGGTTAGATTTGTAGAAGGCTTTTGCTAGCCGGGTAGTGTAGTTAGCTATCCAGGCAGAACATGCTTTTACTTTAATCGCGGTACACTTCATACTTCCGTCCAAGTATAGGTACCTAGTATTTCTTTAAGGACAATAAGGACAAGAATATATTACGATTATAGAATACGATAGTAAATGGCAATGTCGATGATAAGAACGACGACAAAAACGACGACAAAAGCGAGCACATGGGAAACATGGCCGCTTTAGCACGGGATACGGATTACACGCGTATATGTAGACACTGCTCGGCTAATAAAACTCTTGTCGAATCCATAGAAGACGATCTTCGCTACTGCATACTGGTAGTCGGCTTCGATCGTCTGAGTACAAAGCTCGGAGCCAGTGGGGCATGACGCGACTTTTGTAATAAGTGACGTTGCTGTTTCACTGCTGAGGCGAAAACATCATCAGCATCCAATATTAGCTGCGCCGATCAACGGTGCCCAAGCTGTACGAAACATGATAGCCTGTAATAAGAGGCCATGCATTTTACAGTCCATGTTCATGCTATCCTTGTCGTGGCCGTTCAGTCTTCGCGCGTCTCAGTCAACTTGACGTGCAGTCATTGCATTGCCGGCTATCACCTGCACTAGTAGTATGTTACCGACAGAGAAGGGCCATGACAGGCTCAATTAGGAGAAAGTTGGGAACGAATGTATATTTCTCAGTCTTGTTTCCTGTTATAGCTATGATCAGGACGAGTAGTCATCTCTACTCATCATCTTTAGTTCCTGCATTCGCAGCCAAAGCAACCTCCAGAGGGGCAGTTCTTGTGGACCTTCCACTTCAGCTGGTCGTTGCAAATAAGCTAGCACAGTTCATAATTAGCCAATCCTTCGTTTCACCGGGAAACAATTCTGTGAGATATTATTGATGGGCGGGTTAAAGGCATGACTTACGACGTTGCCATCATTTCCTGGGCCGCAAGTAAGCAAGCCTTTGTTGTCAGGGATGCAGGAATTTCCGGCACGCTTGGGTCCCTGGATGCATTTGGTCTCGGCCATGGAAGCCCAAAAGGCTGCGGCAGTGGCGACAGTAGTGATGATGGAGTTGAACTGCATTTTGGGTTGAATGGGTTGAACGTGAAGGTATGGAGAAGATGTTGGCTCTTTATGTGAATAGTATGAGACTGTGACTTGATGATCGAAGTGTAGGTAAATGTTTTGAAGACGTGCGAATGGAGGCCTTTATATAGTTTTCTTCGTGGACATTTCAGCTGCTTGCTTCCCTTGATCGCCCGAATCTCATGCCTACCAACATCCAGTAACTCACTAGGAACGATCAAACTTGAGATAGAATCAACAACTGGTAGTTGCGGTAGCTTGAGACCTGATTTGTGGGAGCAAGTAACAATCTCCTGCTGCTTAGTGGCACAGTCTCATCCACAGTGGCTGGGGCAATTAGCTAGTCTCTGCATCCCTCTCGAGCACTTACTTTTTACTGGCGATCAACATCACAGCTGGTGTCAAATGGAACATTCCTTCTCATGGATCAATCCTACATTTTCGGTCCCGATCATGGTGGCATGGTATGGACGACTAGCGCTAGGGCATTTGCGTGCAATGTAACCTATTCTAAGACCTGCTCTCAACAGGAACACGGGAGAGACTGGCTGCACCAAACTTGACAAGCGTACTGCACTGGTTTCACGGCCCCCACCTCGTTTACATGTATGGATCACCATCATCTACCCCGCCAATACTGCCTTAGGGGGGCCGGTAGTCCTTCCTTGCAAATGTGCCTTGCCACTGTGGCACAGCGTCACGGCGACATCACTTACAGGGGTCGCCAGATCAAAGGATTCAGATGGTGACCACATATCTGCCCCAGAATGCCCATGCGAAGGATCAAAGTTGTCAGTGACACTCTGTCTCGGGTTGAACGAAGTTATTCGGGACCGAGAAGCGTATTGCAGCCCATCGCGGGAGTGCAAGACGATCAAAGTCACTCACCAAAAGGAGCACGCGCCCGACACTAGAATCCATTGAGAAGTCCATCTAAATATGATTTGTCCACACAGCTCATTTATGTCCTCAAAATGCCACAATTAATTAGTAGAGACAGTCATGGTGAGAACGACGAGGACGACGAGGACGAAACCTTTCAGTACAAGTCTCGTGACTGGCCAGTTCGGTATGTCGGCTGTTAATTGTGCTTCTTTCATCGTAGAAGAACGGAAAGGGCGGTTTTGAAATTCCCTAAGTACCTGAGAAACGAGAGCAAGACTGTCTGTTTTTCATGACAGCTTGTAAAACTTCAAGTTTAAATCACACGCCAATAGACACAAGAACAAATCGCAGCACAAGATTTCAGAGTCATCATTAACAAGGGCAATTAAAAATGCCTAGTCGGGCTCGGTACATTTGGAGTTCCGGTGATGAACTTTCAACCCCCAACTGAAAGCGCGTGTTGTCGTTTACGACAGCGCGGCCCCGTGCCAAGGCTGATCCATGCCACCGTGATGTGCGGTGGGTTCTCACGGGTGCTACTGTTCTGTCGTTCCTCGTACACTAGCGCTTTTTCGGCATTGATCCATTGGATCCATCCCATCGTATTCGCTTTCGTCATTCACTTCACATCCAACAACGCCCGCATCAATAGGGCGCAGTGGATAATTCAGGCGCAATTACAAGGCAATCAGAGAATGGTCTTCAGAACATTTTGCTGTCCGGTTGGGTATTAGGCATAGACAGGAACAAAAGGGACGATAGGAATAATACGAATAACAAAATTACTGTTATGAAATGAACTTTTAGACCTAATATGACAGTTGTCCGCCTGGTTAGTTTGAAGTATCTGCCCGGATAGTAAGACTCTTGCATAAGCGGTCATTGACGCCTGCGGGTATCTCTTGGTGGACTGACACAACCCTCGACGGTTGATATCGCCGCCTGTTGACCGCATCAGATGATCCACAAAGATCGAGGTCCAGTAAATTGAATTTCTTGGTATTGCAAGCTACTTGAAATTTCGAATTCTGGGGTGGCAAAGATCCTACCTGGGCGGACTAATGGTGTCCCGGCGGGACAATCGGGCTCCCGACAAAACTATTGAACTATTAATTAAACTGAAGACCTCTTTGCTTGGACTGTCAATCTTCCTTTCCAGATCTCACATTTCAAAAGTCTGTCTGAAACATCATAATTGATCATATTTCTCACGCGATGCAGCTTCTTTGCTTCTTGGTGGCCAGCGCCGCGATGGCGGCTGCCGTCTCAGAAGGTCCGCAAACCGACAAGGCGGGCAGGGCGTGCCAAAACCTGAAGAGCGCCTTTGCCAACTCAACTATTCTCGCGGATGATGAAGGTTATATGGAGGAAACCCAAGGTTAGTCGCTCTACTCAGATACCATCTCTTCATCCTGCTTACGGCTGTCGCTCGTAGTGCCATGGTCCGCGAGGTCTTGGCTCGGTCCAGCGTGTATCTTTGCTCCCACGGACGCAAATCAACTGTCTTCTGGCCTGAGATGCATTGTTGAACAGGAAGTGCAGTTCGCCATGCGCGGAGGTGGCCACATGCCCATTTCGAATGTTAGCAGCATTGACACCAACGGTATTCTGATATCGAGCGTGAACATGAAAACCCTCGCCATTTCAGAGGACAAGAATACGGTGTCCGTCGGCCCAGGCCTGCGGTGGACTGATGTCTACACCGCACTTGACGGGACTGGAGTCACTGTTCTCGGTGGGCGTGGCAGCCCCATTGGTGTCTCTGGTCTTTTGCTGGGTGGAGGTGTTTCTTTCTTCAGCTACGAATACGGTCTCGCATCGACAAATGGCAACGTCAAGGCGTATGAGGTACGTCAAACGCGATGTCACTCTCTTGAAAGACGCATATTAGCCAAGTGACTAACATGAGAACAGTGCGTCTTGGCTGATGGAGCCGTCGTGGAAGCCACTCCCACGAATGAATATGCCGATCTGTTCTGGGCGCTTCAAGGTGGCGGTAACTCATTTTGTCTCGTCACTCGCTTCGATCTCCAAACCCATCATTCTCCATCCGTCATGCTCGCTTCCCCATCTTATGGTGGAGAGGAAGTTAAGCAGCAGTTTATCGAGGGTGTTTACAACTTTACTGCCAATGGGCACGAGGATCCCAAGGCTGCCGTCCTGCCTGTCATCACTTATGTCAGCGGCACTGATGGGCCAACGTATTCGGCAACATTGTTCTACAACGGAAACTCCACCTCACCGACGATTCTGGGAGACTTTCTCGGTGATATCCTGACTCCGTACAATAGCTCGAAGTCGCTCTCATCATTTCCTATTGGGAAGTATAACCAGGCAGTGTTGCCAGCCTTTCAGAAAGGCGGTCGCTCCTACGGGTCGAGACAACGATTCCACTTGCTCCCAATCTACGCCAACAAAGAAGCCATGCTGATTGCCCAAGACATGTATTTTGAGCTTGCAAAGTCGACGTTCAGCAACACCGAAGGAGGAATCATCGGCTTTGCTTTCAACCCCATCACTTCGGCACTTCTCGCGGCGACCAATGCCCAGCCAGGTGCAATCCAAGGAATTGATGAGTCGCCTTCATTCTGGATCGAGCAAACCTATAGCTGGACAAACGAAGCTGATGACAAAGTAGTCGACAACTTCATCAGCGAGTTCAACACCAAGGTCAGGGAGCGCTTGGAGCCAATGGGTGTGTTGTATCCGTTTTACTACTTGAACGAAGCAGACATCGGCCAGCCCGTGTTTGAAAGCTACCCAGATGGCAACCTTGATCGTCTGAAGGAGATCAGGGCCAAGTACGACCCTGGTAGGGTCTTCACTGACCTCATGTCTGGTGGCTTCAAGGTTGCGGCAGCTTAAATGTTACATTCGTTTGGAGCCTAGGCTGTTCTGTGGTGTTAGTCATAGTAGCATTGGTGGCAGTTGTGATGTACAGCCCTTCGGAGGGTCTGGACTTCTGATTAGCCGCACCTCTTCTCCGATGTGCGTACTATGTCCCAAGACGGAGAAGCATGTGTTCATTGCCCCCTTAAGGTAGTTTGAGAATCTTATCCCATATATGGAGAGCAGCATTGAAGTTCCTAGTCAATACCCTCAATTCATCAGACAACACACGAAAATCTGGGTCTTTCTACTTCCTCATTCATATCTTCTTCTGGATGGAGTACTAAGGGAATACACAAAAGTGTTACAGACGCCCTTTCTCCGTCACGTGAAGTCTGACGCAAGTTACAAGTGGCCTAGCTTGCAAGAGATCTTGAAGCATTCAACATGCGAGAACGCGGAGAACGAGAGAAAAGTTCAGGAGTCAAGGAGCTTCAGATACTCTGAAGGATAGTAAACTTCCAGACTTTGCTGGTGGCGTGAAGGAATATCACATGGCGGTACAGGGCTAGCCCATGTCTGACGCCCCAAAGCGACCGGATGCTGCTGTGAAGCGCTCTTGTGGTATCCATCCCTTTGACCTCGAGAGAGCCACTTTTCGCGTGCAATTACTGTCTCTTCATGTCATAGGAAACCAGAGTCTTCAATCATTCAGACACTGATTTTAAAGATACACACTTACTTCCTCAGGAAGTAAGCGAGCAATAGGCGCTCAAAGCGGCTTTCTCGGGGTTATCGGGATGGCATGTAGACTGGAACCTCGTCTCTCAGCCGCAAGACAACGCCGGAATCAGAGTAATGCTTGAGGATATCCTTTCGATCCTGCGTCAGCCTTTTTTTTCCCCGTTCTTCTCTCTCTGTTGCCCTTTGCTCCCCTTTTTGCGACCCTGAGCTTTCATCGACATCCCTCCCTTTTTGACGCGACTGATCATATGTAGTTAGGAGGTTACGTGGCCCGCTCTTGCAGTCGCACTACTCCCGTTCTCCCCCACATTATCCTGACGAATTGAACTCATCCAAGGTGGTCGCCGACACGAAGCAAGCGATAGCCACTGCAATCCTCCAAAGCAATACTAGTCTGCGTCGTCAATGGGTCGCATTTCTCTCCGTCCTGCTACTTTTACGGTGGGCCAAGGTCCTTTCCCACAGTTCTGCCCCTAGCAACAGACAGAATATCCGACCCGACTCCCAAACCTATGGATCAACCCCTTTTGGAAAGAATGACGAGGATAGAGATTCTCGATTCCATTGGTAGTCTTTAAGAATAGATTGTCAACCAACATGCCTGGTAAACAGAACCACCACCACGCCGCCGTTTCCGAACCTCCTCCTAAATGTTCTATCAAAAACATTGACTACGTTTTCCATCAATTTCATGAGATTCCAGAAAACGAAAAGTTCTGGAGTAAAAGCTTCAACTAGTGGGTCAATGTCAAGAAACTCACCGCGAATTATTACGGCGTTGATGTAATTCGCCCAGTGGAGGGAATCGGGGTTTATAACCTCCCAGATTCGGACACTCGGAAAGGATGGACAGATGCCATCAAGAGCCAGCGCGAATCAAATGCCCTCTGATGTTTCTACCTTTCAGTCGACTAAACCTTCGTCTCCGCAGAATTCATGGACTTGTATTCCATCATTACCGGTTCAGCTATCCTGTGGTGGACAAATTGCTACAGGCCATGCTCGATGACGGCCATCCGGATGTACCATTCATGCTGGACTTGGCCAATGAGCCATAAACGGTTCGTTGGGACGGTGCAGCCCAGTGGCACCCTCCTCGCTCAAATGTACGGAGAGATCGACGATTTGGAGACAGCATCATGAGTGGACGAGGCGCTTCTTCATACGCCGAAATGCACCAGAGTCAACAGCAAGGTCCTGATGTTGGTTTATAATCCGAGTCATATGGGCGATCGGGGAAACGGACATTCGGGGCGTGGCGTCTGTGGGGAGTCCCAAAACCCGGAGTTTGATGGCATGGAAGTCGTCAAGACCAAACTGGAACCCGAACATCCCGATTCACGCGGATCTACCGATGCTATCAATGAACTTGGCTTGAGGAGCGGTGGTCATTGGGACTGTACGGCCTGGCCTCATACTCCCGGGGCTCACAGAACATTTTACCGCTGTGCTCTGGCTGCCTCGTCATGCAACAGACGGTGGAGGCGCAGCATTGGTATTCAACCACCCCAAAATCTGGGCCACCATTAAGCTTATCAGCTGGCAGTTAATCTAGATGAATGGATGCCGAAGGGAATCCCCTGGAGGTAGACTCAAAGTTTTCGGTGGGGCATTGGGATCATTGTTCCCTCCCACTGTCCGCAGCTCCTCCGGGTCTTCTTGGCCGCGGACTGCGGCAGGGCCAGCTGTGTGGGCTCCATCTAGACGTGACACAGCAGGTTCAGGAGAGCATTGTCTATTGTCCTGGGCGGCCTGCCAATGAATGCAGTAGCTACCTAGCCAAGACAAAGGAGAGCGAGGCTCAATTCCAGGGGAAAATCACCTACCCCCAAAACATACTTCTGAGCCACTTTCAACGTTCAAAAGGATAGCGCCGTTGAAACGGCTAACGGCTGGCCCGATGTGTTGGTGCGACTATTGAAACGAGGCAATCCCGTTGAGAATTATGTTCGGAAAGAGGAATAACAGATGACAGCAAGGCAAGCATAAATGACGAACGAAACGTATCTCATCCACCCTGATGAGTCCGCGTCTACTTATAAGTATGGGCTTAATGGCAGGAGGTATACAGAGCTATTCCATCCACGCGATATTGAGGTATGAGGTATAAGGTCATCTTCGATCTGTTCAACGTCGTGTGAAATTTTACGTTTCTCTCATAAAACTTTTCATATCGCGCTACTGCCACTGGCGGATCTCTGCTGTATTGCGAACGGTCAAAAATCTCAAAGACCCAAGCGTAGGGCTTGTCGAAAATGTGCGTCTATCAAATTATTGATAAATTTCTAGGAGGCGTGGTTCAGATGAAGGCTGGAGTCAAGCCACAAACACTTCGAGCCGAGCAAACTATTATCTTCTTTAGGGCTCCGGCAAAATTCATGAATATTGAAAGTACAATTTAACACACTCTCTACACGGCTTATGGCCATGACAACTCTCTGCGCCGAGCTCTGGCGTCAAAGAAAAAAGAAGGGCCAATGGCAACAGTTACAAAACAGTAGTATCCATGAGAGCAACAACAACAACAAGACCAACGAGAACAGCAAAAATAACGGCAGTAACCCTTCCAGAACCCGCATCTCCAGTTTCCCGATCACTCATCACGCAAGTACCCGACACCTCACATGTCGTATCTCTCAATCGAGCTTTTGAAAAGCCGGAGCATGTAACCCACCAACCCGACGATCAAGTCCGAGGGGTCCACGATCATGGTGACGTACATGATTGGTCCAGGGCCCTCTTTCCACTGGGCACTCTCGTTTTTCTTGATCTTCATCATGGGGAAAAAGGCTAAATACAAGACATTCTGGTTCCACATTGCTGCGAAGGGAATCCTACTCAGCAGCGCATAGGCCACCAGCTGGAGGTTGATGGCTTTGAAAAGGGCGTCATCCGGAAATTCCCGAGCTCCAACTGGCAAGAGAAGGTGCAAACGTGAGCGATTGGCATCGGTGAGGCCAACAGTCGCATGCTGCGCCGTCGGGGGTTGTCGATCCATGAGCTGAACGAAATACTCTGATTTAAAGGCGTGCGGATCTTTAAACTCGAGAAAGGCAAAAAGGCGGAAGAACTCCTTGTAGATGGGGTCATCTGTGGTAATCTCGTTGTATGCAGAGAGTGAAGAGTTCAGACATCGATGGAATGTCATGTCGGGTCGAAGCTCTTTGCGCTTGTCTATGATGCGCAGAGCCCACCTTTTCTCCACAAGGGACAGGATCACAGCCTTCAGTCTCCGGTATTTAAATCTATACGTCCTTTCGGACGATGACCTCAGCAGCATGGGCGTGGTATCGATGCCATCGTCATCTTCGTCATTGTTGAAGAACAGAGCTTTGCTGAGAAGTCGCAAGATAGGTTAGATGACGTCCCTTCGAGCTGTGTACGCTGCAGCACTCTCATTCTCGAGCAGAACGGTAGGTTCCGCGCGGGGTATAAGAACATCGTCGAACACGTCTTGGGTATGCGCTCGGTTTCGATGGATGAACTGGTCCACATTGTTCACCCAATCCTCTAGTGGCCTGATTACAAAGTAGGGGGGGAGCGGAGCGTCTCCGGCCGATTCGCTGCAAGCGTGTAAGACCTTGAGCTTTCCGGACCCGTATCGCGGTTGTGTGTTGTACAAATTAGGTCTTTCGCGGGCGAGAATGGCATCGGCCAACCGTCTTCTTGGAAGTTCCGCCGTAGCCTAATTCACGATATTAGTATATGACATTGATGAGTCGGGTACATTCAACCAACAGTGAAGTAGCGCCGAAAACGACGGCGACGAGGGTTGCAAAGAGCGATGGCCAACCCCGCCATGACAAGAATGAGAAGAATGATCATGTTGAGGAATTCTCCGAGGTTGCGGGTTGTTTCTACGGTCAAAAAGTCGGGCGTTGGGACTAAGGCTGAAGCAGACTGCGAGGTACGAAGTCGAAGCGACAATGTGTGATGTGGACGGAACTAAAAGCTAAGAGTTCTGTATGGCTACCAGTAAAGTTTGGAAAGACGGGCAAGCTGCCGCTAATATAGGCAATCCCAGATCAGATCTTCGACACTGATCTTTTCTCGGCGCAACTACGAGAAAGCTCGTTCCCCTGTCATCATGAAAGCCCACTTGCAAACGCTTTAGCCGCAACAAACGAAGATGGCAGCGATTACTGGGCCCACCGGGAGCTAATGCCTGACAACGTGATGCACCCGTTATTACTCCTTGTCTTGTGGGTATCTTCTTTAGGCACCTTCTCTTGTGTGGACGCCTTTCGCCCCAGCGGCACTTTGAGGTTGTGAAGCTAGGAAGACCCTTTCAGATGATGCATGCCGGACTGCTGCCGCTTCCCATTCCAAATTAGCTGAGTCCCTCCTATTCGAAAGACACCTTGCATATGCCACTTCAATGTTACGTAAGGTTAGCTACCTTTGGATATCCTCGGTCTCGTTGTCCAATGCTCCACTGAGGATGCTGAACGTTGAGCCGTCCTCAACAATGACAGCAATTTTGCCCGTGATGTATTATGAAATCTTCCTTTCAATGTAACATACTACCTCAAAGCTTAATTCGGCTTAGGATATTTCGGTAGTGAAAGAAGTTGTAAGTCTAGATGAGACCGATGATTCCTAGGCTTGTATATTTCACCTCTAGCCCACCAAAGGCTTTCAGATCCCATTGTTTACAACGGCAAGCCACCGGAGTTTGACTATTAGCAAGAGCCGTCCTGATTCGATACGGCCTGCCTGGCACCTTCCTCAAGACTCCTATTGTCATTGCTGCCTTCCTTTTGTCTTGTCACGTCGCAGTTCTGCTCCTTTCTTTGCTTTCCGTTAGATCATCCATTCTTCGCGCGGTCCATTATCCCATGATCGGTGCTACCAGATTCGGAAAGAACGCCAACCAATATCTCGCTGCTCGCCTAAGTACCCAGTGAGTTTCCTTAGTCTGCTCCCAAACATGCGCCGACGGCATTGATGTACTTCCGCTGGTGACCGCGCTGTCGTTTGCCGTTTCCAATGCTCTTGTGGTCATCGGGCTTTCTACCATCTTTCTGGTAGAATAGTGGAAGCGGGAAAGAAGGTTCTCTGGTTCGAGCGGATCACTCCGATGGCATCCTGCCTATTTAGATTTCAAAGTCTCAGCAGTTCATTTGTACTCGTAGCATGAGTGGAGATGAATTTCAATTTGAGAACAGTCTGAAATCAGTCCGAAAAGGAGCAATTCATGAGGTAATCTACGGATACATAGTCTCTATGATACACCAATCGTCATGACTATGCCTCAGTCTATTGCCCCGCCAGTAACCCCAGAACCACCATCAGTGTCTTTGTCCTGATCAAGCTTGAACGAACTTGACACTCTGCGGACGCTACCCATCTACTTCTTCGCTTTTCCAAAGGGAACATCGAGCAGAGTATCCGACCTCTGCTTTGACATTCCAGCAGAATCTGTTTCACTGTCTGAATCCGGCTCGTGCATAGTTCCTCTCTCGTGGGTCCACGGGTTTGTGTAATCGCGGTTCTCTAGCGAATGAAACCTTCGGAGAACCCAGGTGTCGAGATGCTCACTCCGCCAGCCGGGAGGAAACCAGCCGGCAAAGTCAGCGAGTTTCTCAATGGAGAACTGCCCATACGGATGAGGAGGCCTGGTGTAATCCTTGAACAGTTCATAAGGCTCCTTCCGCTTTGTATCGATCATTGAACTGACATAATCAACCAAGACGACTCGCGGTTTGCCTTGTTCATCTGTCGAGATGAGGATGTTCTCCGGCTCCGGCCACCAGTGCTCGACCCCTGCGTGAAGTTGATGAACAGTGTGCTTCATGAAACTTTTTAGGATTTTAAGGCGAACCTCCCGGGTCAGGTCAAGCTGTTTGGTCTTCTCGAAGTCAAGATATGTGGGACCAGTTGGTGGCACCAAGTGATAGTGCTTGTTGCGATAACACAAGTCTTCAATGCTTTTGCCGTGAATGTACTCGATCATGATTGCTCCAACTCGGCGAGTCTGACCCTTGAACTTTGGATAAGCGGTTGTGAGTGGAAAAGTCCAAGAGCCATGATACTGCGGTGCGAGGTGCGGAGACCCAGTTCTTCCTGCTTTCCAGAGGTGTTGATACGAGGCATTCTCGCGACTGAGATCGCCATCTGCAATGATTGTGACTTTCCATGGTCCCTTGTCTGTGCCCGAAATGTCGCCGTAGAACAATGGGTCGAAGACCTTGACGACGACTAGGTCTTCAACAATCAAGGGCTCTCCGTACAACGATGATTCGTCAATGTTTTCGGGTCTCATTGTCCATATTTCCCGCTGGGGAACCTTCTTCACCTTGCAAAGAAGAACCTGACAACCCCCTTCCGAACCGCCGCAAATGAGTCTGATAACTTCCACCATTACTTGGAAATCTTCTGCTTTCTTTTCGGACTTCGAGGTGCTCTTCTTCTTGCCCTTCTTGCTGTCGCTGTAGGCTGAATCAGTCGGCAAGAGGACGCTATCGTCGTTATTCCTTTTCGCCAAGGGTACGTAGGGAGTGTAGCGAAATGCCAGTTCTGTCCGACTCATGCACTCCTCTTCTTCCGATAGCATCTTGTCATTGCTAGACATGTTATCAGGATTCGGGTAATGAGAGATTCCGTAGGGCTCGGGTGGCCAATGTGGGCTGAGGTACAACATCTCGCCGGGATCGTATTGTGAGAAATCCTGCTTGATGGTGGCCGCGTCTTCATTGAGATCGTGAACAGTCTCTCTCTGGCCCTCAAAGACACTCTCAAAGAGTAGCCGAGCAGACGTATGAGAAGGCTGTTCGATATTACTGTCACGTGGGTGGGTGAGCTCCTTCACAGGGCAGTTGAAGGAGACTTTGTTTTCCAATTCCGGCCTGTAAAGACGACACCAATTATTGAGTAACTCATCGGATCTTCCAATGGGTATGTCGGAAGGGAAGTTGATGCCAGCCGGGATATTCAGACCAGAAACGAGTTTGCTGTGGGGCGGAATGCTGGTTGCGGCCCCGACGGTGACTCCGGCTTCGATGATGGCGTCTTTCCCGATAGTTGCATGATCCAGAATATTGACGTTAGATCCCATGCTTACGCCAGTCCCAATGCTGACGCCAGTCCCGATGCTGACGCCAGTCCCGATGCTGACGCCAGTCCCGATGGTGACTCCAGTCCCGATGCTGACGCCAGTCCCGATGGTGACTCCAGTTTCAATGTTGACGCCAGCTCCGATGATGACATCGGGCGGGATAGCCATGCCGGTCGGAATGATGACATCCGGCGCGACTTTGGCTGAGGTTTGATCTTCTCTTTGTCCACGTCCCTCCGTGACGGCTTCCGATTTCTCATTTGCAGCTTCATCCGCAAGCTTGGTGTCTTGGGCCTCATGTGCGACTATCTCTTTCTCTGAGATGTGGAGGGCTAGTGGTGTTTTGTCTCGCACTGGACCTGTCATATTCTGAGTGACCAGTGAAGGCTCCTCGGTTGGGATAGACATAACGTCACCAGGCTGTTGTGAGTTCATCTTCTCCGTATATCCTCTTTCGCTGTTTGAGATGCTGTCACTCATATTGGGCAACGGCGGCGTATGGTGTCGTCAACGAGGTGGAATTCGCTGATAGTCAGTATGAGATGGAAGTAAAAGCTGCGCTAATTATAACGACGTGGAATAGAGTACCTGTACGATCGCTTGCTCAACCTTGGGGGCCTGGGCCTGCAAAATTCAGATTTTCCCTGGCGACCGATGTGAACGCGACAAGAAAAGCCACAGGGGAAAAGGGCACTGCTTCATTGATAGATATAAATATCGGAGATTCGGGGCCGGTTCCAAAGGTCAAGGAGAATTTCTGAAAGAACTGGAGAGACAGGAGGGGGGAAGTCAGGGCCGTTTCAGGTACTACGGTTGAGCCGAGTGCGCGGAAGGGGTAACAAATACGGGAAGCAACAGCTGACACAATTTCGAAAGACGGACGTGAGGGTTATTGCCCAGTCTTGGGCATTGGTAAAAAATAGTTCGAAACTGTTTGTGTAGGTTTGCGAGATTTATGGTGGCTCTTCAGGGGAAGAGACAGCAGCCATCCAGACAGCAGCCATCAAGGCAGCCGTAGACATTCGATTCGTGGAAATTAGTGGAAAAGCTCAAATTTATCTTTAAGAGGTGAAAACATAAGCTTTCCACCTAGATTGATGGTAACTTAGAACCTTTTTGTGCGCGTCTGCACTCAATAGGGTATTCTTCTCAGGTAGATCATGAGAGCAGCATAGGTCTTCGTGTGAGCATAGAACACCGCATCCCAAACCTCCGTCAGTTACCTATAAGAAACTTGAGGTAGCATCAATTTCCTCATCAGCGCCAGATGTAGTTTCTTGGCCATCGGAGTACTGCCACACAAGGGCGGCTTGTGGGCTTCAGATCGGAGATTGACATTGCTCGTGCATTAAGTCTTTACTCAAAGGTTAACCACATCCATGGATCTTGTTGTTGATGTATCATTCTTGGATCATGACATACTTTTGCAAAGTTCTCTAGCAAGTGGTGGTTCCTCACAACAACAGTACCAAATACAACATTGAATATTACAGAAACTTCAATTTAGCTTGTTCTTCACATTACAATGTCTCTCATCATTCATTTTGTGCCCAGTTGTCTTCTGGTCATCTATGCTCACTAGGTCGACAGTGGGAGCTACTGACAAGTTCAACAATTCGGAATAAAAGAAATGGCAAAGTTACCACGTACAGCACAGGTAGGTTTGCAGCCAACTGGAGCGCGACAGCAGATTCTCCCAGACAAAGCGAAGAAACAGTGATCAATTCATACATACAAAAACGAACCTCCACAAATGATGTTCAGAGTCCCAAGCAGAGTCAGACTCAAGTGGAGTTCCAATTTGAAGTGCAACTAGGAAGCAGAAGAGGAAGAAGACCCCTCATTGCGATCCTTACGCATGAGAACAGACACGGTACTCCTGAGTGTGTTTTGCATGCCCTTAAGACGTCCGCTCATCATGCTTTTACCGTCAGATCTCAGTTCCGTGTCTTCCAAATTCTCGAAATGCAGCGCTCCCATTTCAGTAAGGTCAGGCTCCTCAAGAAATTCCTTATCGTTGAAGGCTCTCGTGACCCAGTCAAGCCAGCCACTTTTCTCTTCCATCCACTCGAAAGGGAACCAGCCAGCCAGGCGGAACAGCTTGTCAGGGCTGAATCGAGTCTTTGGGTGAGGCGGCAGTGTAAAGCGTCGGTAATGGTTCAAAGGGTACTCGCGCTTCGCGTCGACAACAGAGTCGCGATAGTCGATAAGGTTGACTCGGAGAACCGGCTGGCTCCTGGACGTGCTTTCCGAAAAAGAGATGAGGATATGTTCGGGCCGGATGGCTTGCACCTCGACTCCAGCTTTCATCTGGGTGGCCACACCTCCTAGAAGCTTCTCAAGAACCGATAGACGCAAGGTTTCGTTAAGCCTTACGCTGCGCTTGCCGAACTTGATCGTCTTCCAAGTAATTGGAACCAGAGACCCGTCTTCGTTCTCATCGCATAGCTCTTCCAAGGTCTTGGCGTGGTCGATAGCTTCCATGAGGATCAGTCCAATGCGTCGGGTGCGATGTCTCAATGCTGGTTGTGTCGAAGATACTTTAGTGGTGTAAGCGCCGTAGTATTTGGGAGCAAGGTGCGCATCCCCATGGCACCCTTTGGATCTGAGCATGTCGTACGCCCCAGCTTCTCGGCAGAGTTCCATGTCGGCTCTCGCAGTCTCCTTCCAGGGGCCGGCTCCAGCGGGGTAGTCCCAAGGATAGAACAAGGGATCGAATATCTTGGCGACAACGAGGTTCGGCAGATCTTTGCCGGACTTTACTTTGCAGAGAAGTACGACGGGGCCATCAACAGGCGAGCCTGACAGAATTTCCTCAATCAAAAGAACCGCCTTCTCATGGATGTTGCCTGGGATACCCTTGGAAGGCTGGGACTTGCGGTCGAAGACGGCTTCGGTTCGAGAACGGGTATCACTCTCGTCCCAGAAAAGATCTTCATCTTCCTTGTCCGAAGGGTACTCATAGAAGGATGTTCCGTAAGGATTGCCGGGGTAGTGCGTGGAGATTGTGAGAGAATTTCCCGGCTCGAAAAGGTCGAAGAAGTCGGCCTCGATGCTGTCGTCGGTGGTGGGGAGCGGCTCGGAAGATTCCCGGTTGCTGTCCTTGCCAGCGTTGGCAGCCCTTTTCTCTTGTTCTCTCTTCCTCCCGGCTGCTTCATTCTCCTTATCTCTTTCAAGAGTCCTCTCACTTGCCTCCATTGCTCTTCTGCGGGACTCCAATGCTTCTTCCAAACGCTCGGGTGACATTTCGCCCCAGTACCACACCGCTGGGTCGGCATCGCGCCCAACACGAGGCTTTCGGGGGTGCTTCAAGTCGTAGAGTTCTTCTATCTCTTGCGCTGTGAGGTCCGAACGGCGGCGTCGCAGAAGAGCCGCCTTGCGAGCTTCGGGGTTGTCTGACATCTTGTCGATTGAAGCTGCCAGGTATGTATGGAAACCTGTGCTCGAGATTAGAATAGCTTGCACGACAGAGTAGTAAGAAGGATTGGATTACTTGTGGTGTGGTCGAGAGTCAGGCTCGCAAAATAAAGGCGCGCAGAGTCCGAGCGGCCAGAGTTCGCATGCAACGCGGTTGGCGAGTTCAGTGTCGACAGGGAAGGAGAGCCAAGTATTTAACGATTACTTGCGCTGCTCAATCGCAGATACAGAGCGATACAAAGCTTTGTTTGGGCTGGCGGCAGAACAAAGCTCTTATGAGATGGAATATGGTGGAGCAGAACGGAAGAATGTGGTCTTTCAGTACTGGCTACGTAGGATGTCGGATGAATAGCAGCTTTGACATGTGTAGTCAGCAAGTTCCACAACAGGGACATACGCGCGATCTTATGTAGGCAACCGAAGACTCCTCAAGGTTTAACAGTTAAAAGTTTTCACGCAGCCACCCCTTTGTTCTTCGGGAAACCACAATCACTGATAGAATCAGGCTCTTGCTGTATGTTTCTTTGTTAAGACGACCCAATCTCATGACTGCTTTATTGTATTGCGATTGAGCAGAGTGAAGTCCAGGCCCTTACATCACCGCCCGGAGTGTCACAACTCCCACCGATACAACTCCTCTTCTACGCAGCGGCTATCCAGAAGCAGCTATTTGGGATCAGGTTTAACTCAAGTGCCCATCGGGCGTCCACATTGACGAGGGGTCACTTCCACTTTTTGCAACTGCAACTGCGCGATTACGGACTCAACTTGCACTACTGCTCGTCATTGCTGCTGAATAAGACCCTACCCATACCTCACCGCAACACCGCAAATCTATCTGGCGGACACTTGCAGCTTGTCACGGAATGCTGCCTTGGGATGATTTGGCACCGGATTCCATGTTTTGTATCGGCTCATATCAGCTCGTATCGGAAGGGAAGCTGCGCCAGCCGTCTCATCAATCTAGGTAGGGTGGCAGGAAATAACAGAGTGTACCGCTCGAAGTGGACATGGTCGATTTGCCTGCGGTGTGCAATTCAGGTACCTGAACGCGTATGCACCGGCTGCTGATGTTAGGAGCCGCATGCCCACCACTGTGATAGGGTCAAGCAAGCCAGGCGCAGCAGATGCAGCAAGCCCTGTTGCTGCGCCTTGAAAATTGTGTAGGCAGGCAGGCTGCGCTGGCCGCGTTGATTTGGCTCCAGACCAGGCACCCCCCCCCCCCCCCCCCCCCCCCAACACACACATACACACACACACACACAAAACAGTCATTCGCATCAGGTTGGAGCTGAGCGCCAGCAGAACCGACGTTCCGTTGGGGTTTCTGCGCTAAAGCGACCAGATTTTGCCTCGCACATGAGAATCACATTTGATGAGAAGATTCTGGAGCTTTTCGGAGCGTTTTTGCACCAGCTTCTGTCGGGTGTTTGATTTCGCTGAATGAGGTTTGACCCCCGAAGCTCTACAAAGTATGTTTGTCTGCTGTGGTAGGTGCCTATCCAGAGTGGTACCTTGCGTTTTCACAAAATCGGTGCCTTTTTATGCATGTATTGCATCTAGCCAAGCATTTCACAACAGTG